CTGTGCCCCAGTTCTTGTATAAATAAATCTTTTTTAAAAATTAAAAATAAATAAATAAATAAAGGCCTTAAGAGTAAACTGAGTGTTTACTTGATGTCTTGGTCTTGATGGGGAAACTTGATGTCTTGGTCTCAAGATAGCAGCTCCTGAGAGTTCCAGCCTGCCAGCTTGCCCTACAGATTTTGAACTTGAACTTGTTTGTGTGTTGATACACATATACATATATAAAGAGATGTATACCAAGGAATATATCCAACAGATAGATGATGGATGGATAGACAGGCAGACAATTTGATAGGACAAATAGACTGATAATCTCCTACTGGTTCTTTTTCTTTTTTTTTTTTTTTTTGTGGGACCCTCACCGGCCACCAGGGAACTAACAGGCGCTGCAGAGGCTATGGGCAGCCTCACAGCCCAGCGCTCAACCGCTGCACCACCAGGGGAGGCCCTCCTACTGGTTCTTTTTCTTTGGAAAATTTTAACTGATACGAGGAGACTCACACATACACAAGGAATGTTCAGACCATGTCCTAAATGCAAGGATTGAGGAAGCATCATAAACAGTGTAAGCCTAAGTCAGTCTCTCCATATTTGAATATTGAACACACTGTGTACTAGATTTATCATGACCTTGGGTCAATTCCTGTAATCTCTAAGCCTCAGTTTCCTCATCCATAAGATGGAGGTAGTATCTCCCTCATAGGTTTGTTGCAAAGGGTCAAAGAGGTTAAATATCTTGCTCATCAATACAGAACTAGCATGTATGAAGCCAGGATTTCAAGCCAGGTTTGTCTGCTGTATCAGCTTGTGCCTTGGTAATTATACTACAGCTGCTTGTTCTTTGACACATTTTTCCATAGGCTACCCATATTCTGGCACAGCTTCAAATCTGCTCTGAAGGGCTGCTTCTTTAATTTCAGGCCTTTGGCCAACCCTAAGGTAGAACTCCAGGTTTCTACTGCATTCTGGTACTCGGACGTGAGCATTGGCTTCAAATCCAGCCTATCTTAGATTAAAGCTCATCATCTTCCCCCACCACTGATAAGTCCTGGCTCTATCTCTCTCTGCTTCTAACATTGGGAAAGTCACTGACCCTCTGTAGGGTAAATGGATTGGTCAGGCTTTTCTGTGGCTATCATCTGCACCCTTGATCGTGTTAACACAGAAGCTGCTTGGGAGTGTGGACGTGGAGCATGCGTGCCTGATTGTGGATACCCAGGGTATGGCTGTGGGGATACGTAAATGTGCACACCTGAGCCTAGAGGCAGGGCTACTCAGAGACAGAAGACAGCTGGCTACAAGAGGACAGTGGCTACAGAAGAGGCAAGACCATGAGAGAATGCCAGAGAGAAAGGAGACAGATTGTTAGAGGGCTGGGAATCTCAGTGGCTTGCCTGCCTCCCAGCACACCCCCTACTGCCTGACCCCCACCCCCACCCCCCGCCCCATACCCACCCTGCTTGCCTACTTGCACTACACTCTGTAACAAATGAGTGTTCTCATTTGTTCAATGGGAGTGTTTGGTGATATAAGAAAGGCAGACACATATCACATCATATAGTTTCTTCATCTTTTTGTGTCTGCAGAACCCATCCCAATGTCTGAATATATATTACTCTATGTATTCATTGAGCATTTATTCATTCATCAGCACTTATTTGAATTAATTACACAACAGACGACATGGGTTTAGTCCTAATTCAGTCCTTGCAAGCTAATTCCAAAATACCATCATTTTTCATTGAAACAAGTAAATAAGCTGCCGCTGTGTTTCATTTGCATGTTATGTTGATATGTTGCCATCTAGTGGATGATGTACAAGTAACATGCAAAAAGAGGAACTGGGTGTGCCCAGAAACAACATCTTAGAAGCATGTTTACAAAGACTGACCTACAGCATTGTCCGGGTTCAACAACTACCTGAAAAACATTTTTAAAATGTGCTTTAAATAGAAAGTAAGTTATAAATGAACAATATGCAATTACCAGCTGCTAATTCTATTGTTTCTAATTTGTTTTAAGCACAATTTTTGAAAAAGGAAGTCAGCATTCTTTCCTGAAAGTGAGTGGGTGATTCTAGATCTTCTAATCCTATTTCCACTGGAGCAGTTCTGCTTTATTATAGATGCTAACTTTTGACACAGGATTCAGAAGAAGAGTTCCATTCATCTGCAGTTTCTTTTTATTTTTTTCCCATTCATCAGCACACAGCAAGTTTACTGGGGAAAGGAAAAAAAAGGAGAGACACCTGCAGAGACACAGATGAGCAGTCTTGAAAAACCAGAACTGCCTCATCTGCAGATTGAGCATCATACTACGGCAAAAGTCACCACAGCTGAACTTGACCTGCAAACACTGAGTTAGGCATGTGTTTTCTTTTTGCCTTTTAAATTAAATTCACAAGTATTAAAATATCAGATTTCACATTAACATCCAGATTTTCCATTTCTCTTGAAAAAATAAAACCTGAGAAACCTAGCAACACAGGAACCATATTTCTGTGTTTACATCTGTAAACATGAGGCTATTAATGGTCTTTCCTCTCTCTCTGCATGTAGAAAGGACTCTCCCAATTGACCATTTTCTCCTGGCTAACATCACCTGTCTGGTCCTATCAAACTGGCAAATCCAATTTCTTTCCATGCAAAAATAAATAGCATGGAACAGTAAAAAAATTACTGGACCTTTAAAATTTTCAGAGTATTACTCATCAGTTCTGCAATTACATTCATCAGAATAGCCTATTAAGTTGTGGGAACAAATTAATCAGGAAATCAAGTAACTTAACACAGAGAAAAGCTTATTTCTCACAGAGTCATTTCAACAGAAATAGGTAAGAGGATTCGACTCTACAAGTCACTGACGGACCCAGGCTGGCTGAGGCACCACAATTTTGGACAACACTGGATGACACAGAAGGAGAAAAATGAAGAGAATCTCACATCAGTTTCACCTCTTCATTCAGAAATGACATTAGGCACTTTCATTCATGTTTCATTTGCCATAAATAATCACATGGTTTCCACTAATTAAGGAAGCAAGGAAATGTAAAATAAATATCTGATAACATTACTCTGTGAAAACCTCAGTAAGTTATTTTACTCATCTCATGCATCTGTAAACATGAATCTTTCCTCTCTCTAAAGGTCATAGAAAGAATAAAATAATATACTAAAAGAACTTTGATAGCTCTAAAGACATACAAATTTAAAAGGGTCATAGTACCTATGTAGGGTAAATAGAAGTTATCAGGTTTACCCACCCCCCCACCCACCCTCCCGCCATTAGAATCAATGATCCACACCTGTGGGTTTACACGCAGGCCTGATGGCACCTGCAGTGTGGTGTGGGCATGCGTAAGTGGCACACCGGAGCCAAGAGACCAAGTATATAAGGGCGGCGTCACATAGGACTACACGGCAGAGGACCTTGGCAGAGGACCAAGAGTGCAGTAGAGACCAGAGGAGAGACCACATGAGAATGCCAGAGAGACCAGAAAGAGTAAATATTTGCTGGGGACCGGGAAGCCCTGTCTGCCCTGTACCTGGTTCCTTCACTACAAATAGTGAAAAAAGATCATTAAAAGCCTGAAAAAGCCACTGAGGCCTCCAGGATTCCTCCTTTACCCGTCTGCCTGAATCAACAGGGAATCTGCTGTGTGCCTTGCTGGCACTATACTACACTATGGTGGAATTAATATGTCATCACCTCTACACACTCACAGAAGTGTGGGTCACAGAACAGGTACTCTGGGAGCTTTAGAATATAAAACTGCTGGGCCTCCCTGGTGGCGCAAGGGGTTAAGACGCAACCTATGAAGCTATCCACAGCCTCTGCAGCACAAGTTCCATCCCTGGCCAGGGAGCTACCCACATGGCGCAGCAGACCTCTCCTGTCTCCTCACTGCTCACCTCAGAAGTGTATTTCAGTCGCTCTGCCTGTTCTGTTCCCCACTGTCTCTGGTGAATTCTCTCACCCTCCACATCTCTGGCCTGTGCCCCAGTTCTTGTATGCATAAATAAATATTTTTTAAAAAAGAATATAAAATTGCTTTCATTTTCATTGTATTATTCAGCCAATTCACCTGTATTCAAGGCTGACCCAGGGAACACTTAGGATCCTCATTCTCTTCCAAGTTAAGTGTTCAGCCTTGATGAAATTATTAAAGTACAAAAGATTTTATATTCCAAAGATGATTGCAACAGTTTCTCCCATTCCATATTCTCTTTCCACAATATAATCTTAATAATCCTCTCACTAAATGGGATGGAGATACCATCCTCTTGAATTTGGGGAGAGCTTGATAACTGCTTCAGCCAACAGACTATGACAGAAGTGATGTTGAGTGAATTCCAAGTAGTCATAACAATGGCATGGACTTACTTTACTCTTCAGGGAAGCTCACTCTCAGACCCCAGGGGCCAGGCTGTGAAGAAGCCCAAATGAGCCTATACAAAGAGTACACAGAGAAATGTGGATGGAGCTAGAAGGAATTATGCACAATGAAATAAGTCAGAAGGAAAAAGAAAATTATCGATGGTTTCACTTATAGCAGGAATACAGGGGAACCAAATAAGATGTCAGTGTAAAAAAATAATAACAGTACAAAACACAACAAAGCAAAACCAGACAATTATAAATCAGAGACATCCTGCAGGGGAGGAGGAGGGAGAGGGGTCAGAGGGAGGGAGGGAGGAGCACAGGGGACTGAGGTGATGGTGCACGGGTGCACTGGTGGAGGAAACTCTATGGGGACTACACCTAAGGGGGTAGGGGGAAGCAAATACTGTTTAAAAATGAACAATGATGTAAAAAAATATTTTTAAATAAATAACAAAGAACAAGGGGGAAAAAAAAAAACAACAAAGACTACACAGAGGCCCCAAAGGTAGGTATTCCAACAACTGCCTAGTGAGGTCCCCACTGAGCCAACAACAACCTCAAAGCCAGGGCTGAAGACACCCCTCCCCTCACCCCATGTTTCCTGCCCCCAGCTAGATTATGAAGTCTGGCCTATAAGATCTTCTCAGCTGAGCTCCAAAAACGTGTAGCAGAGAAAAGCCATCTGCACTGGGTTCCATCTAAATTCCTGCCCCCTAGCATGTGTAAGTACAATAAAATGACTTGTTTTACACTTCTAAGTTTTGGGGTAAATTTTTATGCAGCAACAAGATTTAGAATAACTAGACTCATTAGCATCAATAATAGTAAGTTATTATCACAGAGAAAAGGGAAATCTATATTTACTGAATTATTCCATTTCAAATAATGCAAACAATTATGAGATGCTAAAAATATACCATAGTGATAAACAAAAGTATCTCCCTCACTTGAAAAATTCAGATATCTCCACTAGAGAGAACTCAGATGATTTCTACATTTCTGAAGTGTTTTCACAAAACAAGACTCCCACTCCAGAGTCCAACATGACTGCTCAAGTTCCAAGTATTACGTTTACATTTCAGCGAGCAGGGAAGTAAAAGGGACAGGATTGGGATGGCCCTCCCTTTTAAGAAAAATTCCTGGAGGTGCATCCATTGGCCAGAATCAGGATGCAAGAAAATCTCGAAAAAGTTGTCTTTGTTGCTACGTCCCAACTAGTAAATAAGAAACTGGTAATAAGGAAAATGGATATTGGGGAGAAAGTGGTAGATTGTGGCACGTGCATATTTCAATTCTGGCACATGCAAAATTCAATGCATACTTGGCTTACGATTGCAGGTTTAAGTAACAGAATAGTTACGTCAAGAACACCACCAGTGTGTCCTCTGTTAGACTCTTGTCTCTAAAGATTTAGGTTAGAGCTTTCAGATAAAATAAAAATACGTATTTATGCTGGATCAACTTTCTTCACCGGATGGGTATTAAGTTAAATGGCAACCAAGCACTTAATAAGTTAATGATCCCTAAAGAAAGAAAAGACATTTAAAGACAATATTTCTTCTAAAAACCAAAGTATAGCTGATCAGTCTTCCTGTAATCTGTTCCCTCCAATAAGTCACTCAATAACCTGAAGTTCAGTTTCATCATCTATAGTTACCGCACATTGCCGTGAGGATTAAATGAGATTACACATGTCAAAGTGGTTTGTAAACAGTAGAGTTTTATACAAATATAAAGTTATGCACCTTCAGAGCTATCCCTCAAAAGATACTTATTCAATTAAACATCTTTAAAAATTTAACAATGTATAAATACATTCACAAAATAATCTGTTGATTAGAAGACTAACAAAGTTTATGGTACCTACAACAGAATTTACAGATGCCTAAATTGTTTCAGATTATTACATATATTGCTTCTTTTTAAAGAATGACATTACTACAAATGCATGATTTACAATATCCCCATTAGAGTCAGAAAAAAAAAATAGATTCACAAAATAAAATATCTTTCAGGCATTTATTATGCCAAATACATAAATTATTATTCTCACTACAAGAATAATACTCTGTTAGTGGTAAAAGACTGCATTACACCAACAATCAATGATGAAGTTCCATGAAGTTCCAAAGTAAAACCTAGCTTCCTTTCCCCAAAATACACAGAACAGCATCAATCTCTACAAATCTCTTAAACATAAACTATGAAAATTCTGTATATATTAGTTGGGCCTCATGTACATGACTAGTTACAAATAAACAAAAAATCGGTTTCTACCTGTCTATGAATGTTTGGGATAAGAAGTTTCATCATGAAATATATATTAAGTTGTAAAATTAACAATTATTTCTAACTTATGCATAAGTCAAAGTGCTCACTCTTATCATAGAAGCCAAACCTGCTTCTGAAAATAATCTACATGAATACTAAACAGACAGACTAGGAACATCCTCCTAAATTCTAGGGGTGAAAATGCAAATGTCTCCATTACATATGTACATGAACGCCAGCCCTTTCACTCACTTGGGACATATGGATTGCATGACTACATGCATACACATGTAACACCATGAACCAAATTTTGACAATGTTTCTAGCCACACCATGCTTTTGAGCCCCAAATGCTAGAAAGAAAATAAAAACATAATATGAAAACTACTTTTCCTTTATAAGTAAACTTTCGAATGGAAAAGAACCCCCTCTTTGCAACATGTACTGAGCTCTAGAAATTTCAGAGTCAATATTTCTTCAGTTGTTTCCCAATGAAATAGAACATACAAACTTTCTCTTTCTTCAGGAAGTCTGGTTGTCTCCAGTGTTCTGCAAAAGAGAAAGAATTCCTTAATATTTAAAGTTATTTCGGGCCTCCCCAGTGGTGCAGCGGGTTGAGTGCCGTGCTGTGAACCTGCCCGCAGCCTCTGCAGTGCAGGTTTAATTTCCAGCCAGCCAGGGAAAAACCCACATGGTGTGGTGGATCTCTCCTGCCTCACCCGCTGCTCCCCTCAGCAGTGTCTTCCGTCCATCTGCCTGTTGTGCTCCCAGCTCTGTCTCTGGTGAATTCTCTCACCCTCCTGCACCTCTGACCTGTACCCCAATTCTTGCACAAATAAATAAAATCTTTAAAAAAAAAAAAGTATTCTTTCAAAAATATATATATTAAAAGTTATTTCAATTAATATAACTTCAAAACACTGGGCCTGGAAAACACTCCAAATTTGTAAGCAGAACCTCACATTCTACAGTCCAATTATGTGACCCGCTGGAGAAGTAAACTAATGTGCCCACCCAAATGTCCAGCAAGTCACTCTCATTTTGGTGGGGCATGTCCAGGTACCATATAAGTCTACCAACCCTATCCATGCTATGTCAGGCTCAAGATCCAATTTCATCTGCATTCAATCTCCCTCCCCTGCTTCAGAAGCACTAAAAATCATAAGGAAAAAACCTATTAAGCACAGACATGACAATTACCATAAGGGGGACCACAGCAAAAATATACTGGGACTATGCAAAAATCTCTCAGGGGGAGAATCATGTTCCCCCTACAAGAATAGTCATTTTCTCTACCTCTTTGTCTTTATTTAAAAGAAACTAGAGTAGAATGGAAAGAATAATGAATCGCAAGAGTGGAAAGTTGGGTTAAGCCCAGCTCTGTACTACTTATTAACTATATACTTGAGAAATTACTTAATCTTTCAGGACTTTTGTTACCTAATTGTGATCCTTGGACCAGAGGCAGCATCAGCACATGGGAACTCACTAGACGTGTGAATGATGACACCACCCAAATCAAGTGAATTAGGAACTTTAGGGACAGGTCCCAGCAGTCTGCATTTTTGTCCTCTGGCTGATTCTGATGCATGCTCAAGTTTGAGAACCACTGCCCTATATCATGTCACCTGCCCAAACTACTACATGAAAACACACATGAGGCATTCAACACACAAAGACTTCATCAACTTTCCCAAGAAATTTAAACAATTACTATTTACCTATAAATACTTCTTATCCCATCAAAACCCTGACTTAAATTCCTGTGGGACTGCAGTAAAACCTGCATGTTCTCTTAAAAAAATTCAGGATTTAATACATTTTTCAAAACTGTTCATCTCAAGCCACCATAAATTAATGGAAAGCAACTGAACTTAAGGTGATTTTGTAAAAGTAAGTTTTTATCAATGATATACCCCTCTAGCTTTAAAATAATTTCAGGACACTGACAATATACTTCTAGAAAGTCCTAAAATATCAAAAAAAAAAAAAAGAATAAAAATAACTTGATCATCATCAGCTCATATTTAAATAAACCTGTAACTTAAGAAACACAATTTTTAATTTTAATTTCATAAAAATTAAACTGTAAGAGTCAGAAATCATTCCATTAGTCATTGACCACATCAAAATTACCCTCCCATCCAGAAAACACTTACTTGTCTTAAAAACTGCTTTCCAAGATAAGATGTAGCCATGCTGGTTAAATTCTTTCTGCTGCCCACTTTGCACCTGATGTAGCCATAGAGGTTGGCACCTTGTAGCACCACACCCATGATAACCACTGCCTGGGAAAGGGAAAAATAAACAAAAGTTTACTGTTCTAAAATTGACTTTTCTCTATGCCATAGATGAGACAATGCAAACTGTCATGGGAAAGAGAAGGGAAAAAAAGCTCTGTAAAGAGGGGTTATGCCAATGAAACTCCCTAACTTGTCAGAATGACCTCTCCAGTGCAAACGCACTGTTTCTTCCACCAACCGTATTTACTGAAAGCGTATGCTATATATTGGGTACCACATCAGCTCCCCAGACATGCAGTCGGGGGAGTCTTTTCTGTGATTTTTTCATGGGCCCCCCAGGTTGTTGTTATGGGCTGAATAGCAGCCCCCCCTCAAATTCATTCTAGAAGTCCTAACTGCAGTACCTCAGAATGTGAATATATTTGGAGAGAGGGCCTTTAAAGAGGTAATTAAGGTAAAATGAGGTCTCTGGAGTAGACCCTAATCCAGTATGACATGGTATCCTTATCAGAGATTAGGACACACACACAAGAAGATCTGAGGACACAGAGAGAAAACAAGTCGAAGAGAGAGGCCTCAGAAGAAACCAACTCTGCTGACACTTTTATCTGAGATTTTCAGGCTCCAGAATGGTAGAAAAATAGAATCCTGTTGTTTAAGTAACCCAGACTGTGGTACTTTGTAAGAGCAGCCCTAGCAAACTAATTAGTTCATCTTGCCAATTGAAATGCTCCCAATTGGAGCTGTGACTCTCCAAGCAAGCCATCTAATTGCATGAGATGGCCACCCTGTGACAAAGCCCAAACTAGCCACATGGACAAACCATGCAGTGAAGTCATGGAACCTCATGAAGATGCCTTCCAGGCCCCAGAAACTCCAGCAACTGTCTGACTACAATTATGTATCAAGTCACAACCTCCCGAACAAATCCCTCCCAAGCTTCTGAACCACAGAAACTATGAGATAATGAAATGCTTGTTAGGTCACCAAGTTTTGGGAAAATTTACTACAGAAGCAATAGAAAACCAGAGTAAGTCACCAACTCATATTTTTAGAAAAGACAACTCTATTACTTACAAATTAAGCTAATAAACATGTTTGTTTAGAATTTACTGAACATTCCCATCCAGCAAAATAATAATGTGATAAATATGGTAACCTCTATATAACAGAGGCTACACGAAAATTCTACTATATACTTGGATAATCAGTGTAATGGGTTTTGGGGTTTTTTTTGGTTTTTTTTTGTGGGACCCTCGCCGGTGGCTGGGGATCGAACTGGCACTGCGGAGGCTGCGAGCAGCCTCACAGCCCAACGCTCAACCGCTGCACCACCTGGGGAGGCCAGTTTAATGGGTTCTTTATCAGGACTCTGTTCTCCAATACTTAGAGAAAAGCAGAGCTGGGAAAGAGAACTAGGGACACACTTGATGAAGCTGCCTATTCAAGGTAGTCCCTAATGTTAACATAGATTGTTTATTATGATTATTCAACAGACATCTTGATGGATTATTCAATAGTTCTACACTGATACTCACCAGCCACTTCACTCTGAAGGAGAAGAGAGCACTAAAGGCAAATATCACCCACAGCACTGGACAGGCAACAAGTCCTAACCAAAAGATTCTTGACTCTGCCTCTGAAATAGTTTTATTCTGTTGAGAGGATTCCTACAAAGAACATGAATTTAATAACCACTATTGACATATTTATCAGTAGAAAGTTTAACATTAGAAATGAAAATACCTTACCTTCAAATTCAAAGAAATTATCAAAGACAACCCAAGTCCTAAGTTAGAATCACTCCCCAAATAAGTTTAACACCTACTACAGTTAATTTCAGGAACTGGCTTTACATTTTTAGGAATTGGTTTTTAAATACTTTGTTTTAAAACTTTTGCTTAACTTTAATACTTTGTTTTAAAATTTTTGCATTTCCAAGGCAGAATGGATGACCTAGGATAGTAAAGACTCTGGCTTCAATTCATACTACACTTGTACTATGCTTCAATAACGAAGCTTTGAATCATACCTAGTAAGGTATGATACCTTAAGGTGTTATATTAGCTGTGATAACACCTTATTAAGTATGATAATACCTTATTAGGTGAAGATCAAGGAAATCAAGGCTATGGTTATCCTGGACACTAAAAGGACAAATCAAGGTCCAGAGAAAGAAATGGAATCAAAGGATTCTGGATGTATAATCAGTGTCTTAACAACACCTGGAAACTTAAAAGGGTGGTCATTTCCAAGGTAGATTTTACAATACAAATAAATATGGGCTCACTGAGCACAGCGCTGCTTTCTGAGACGTACTTGTCAAGGTAATCTCTAGAATTCTGTCCTCTGCTCTCAAACTAATTTTCACAGGGAAATTGAATATTCACTATAGACAAACAGCTAACCCACAACAGATCAGGGTCTCCTTAGGATTCCTGAAGACACAGGCTCAAAGAATAGTTTGCCTCAATTCAGATTTTCTACCCAGTTGCAATACTTCTCATTTTCCTGCCCACAAATGGAAGAGGACCAGCGGAGCAAAGACACGCTAGGCAGAGAAGAAACTGGAGACACTAGACTGGGCAACACAAAGTGGAAGGTAGTCAGAAAGAAATCCTTTATCAGTAGCTTGGCAGCAGCTTGGCAACTGCATAAACTCTAACCCAAATCCTCTCAAAGGACTTTCTTCACTATGCATACTTTTATTTCCAGTCTGAACTAGATAGGAAAATGTAGTAAGTCTTAGAAGGCCATCTGGCTTAGTGCAAACATGCACTAAGAGAGTACTTTAATCTTAAAGTAGTTCACCCCTTAAATATTAAAATGTAATCTACATAATTTATTGAATAACTCTAAAAAGAGGGTGGGGATCCATTTACCTTTCTGGATTCAAACACCCAATGGCTTTTTCCATCTTCATCAATATGATTCCACCAGCGCAGGCCAACCATAAGTCTCCCTGTGACATTCTGGTAAAGATTAACATGTATACATGTATTTTAAAGGCATGATTGAAAGATCCTATCTTAGTGTAACACTTCACAAACAAAAAAATCTTCAGCATTACTCCATAACATCCATAACAAAAGATTAATTGGCAATTGTAGGACTAGCAGGGGTGGAAGTGAGAAGGTGAACACATCTAAAACACTGCTCTTCCCTTTCCCTCATGGATCCCTGTCCTTATTCCAGTCCCTCATGGTCATTAAATCCTTTGTTCTTTAGTTACTGGGACCTACTTTTTCCTATACATTCTGGTTATAGCTGCATATATAACTACATGTCTCTAACAATGATTGTTATGGACTAAATGTGCCCCCCCCCTCAAATTCATGTTAAAATTCTGCCCCTCAACTATGTGATGGTATTATGTGGGGCCTTTGTTTTTCCTCTAGATTTAGCTTTAGACACACTCCAAAAGTTGGAATGTAAATGATCACTGTCATTAAGAAGTAAAGGAGGGATTGGGGTCAAAATAAGGGGGGTGCAATTGTATGGGGAATATAAAATTTTTTTTAAAAATTTAAAAAATAAAATAAAATAAATCAAGTTAAAAAAAGAAGTAAATAATCTATACAGTTTTTGTTTCTTTCTCAAGTCAAGAAGTTTAGCAGGTTGGCTTTTAAAAAAAAATTCTAACTCTGACAACCAATTTTAATTAATTTCTAGTTTTGTTGCATTAGTCTAGAAAACATGGGTGGGCGATTTTTGGATTTCCTTCATAGTGATATTTAATCAAGTTTTGTAAATGTTACAAGGGAACTAAAAAAAAGGTCTTATCCTTGTACCTACAAAGTTCCAAATATCATTCTGCTATAAAATTGATCAGATCTTTTAGACCTTATTTATCTGTTACTTTGATCTGTTAACACAGCAGTCTATCAAATCCCTACCACATTCACGTTCCTTCCATCTTTACCTAATGTTTCCAATGGTTTTTCACTATACATAGTCTGATATAATGTCATTCTGTGAAGGATCCTCACTGTGATTCATAAATGACCCTTTTTGTTCCATTCAATGCTGGCTTGCTTTCATTTCTATTATGTCTGATAATATTATGCCGTGTTTTCTTTTTGTCTAAATTGGTCTAAGGCTATCATTGCCTTCTTTTATTTTTTTCTAATGTGAAGATTTAAGTTAGATCTTTTGGGTTGGACTAACTATTCTATCTAATTTGCAACTTCTTCCAACACCTTGTACATGATCTTTAAGCTTCCTTGACACATGCATTTTTTCCTTTTCTTGTCTGAACTGTTTTAGTTGCTCCTGTCTTCTCCAAAGTTGTGGATGACATACAACTTGTTTTAAATTTTACAAATAGTTACCATTGAAGTTTTAAAACCATTATTTAACTTTTTTACTCGATTAGTATACAGGCTATAACACTGAAGTGAACTTTTTAAGTTATCCTTCCAGCTCTGCTTGGTCTTCATTAATATCACCTATATGCTTAGATGACTTTTTTGTATAAATAATTATTTCTTCTTTAAAGAGATCTCTCCATCCAATATGGATCTCTGCATCCATCTCTCCACCCAATATGCCCTTTCTCACCCCAACAATAGGGTTTCTCAACCTTGGCACTATTGACATTTTGGGCCAACTAGTTCTTATTGCTGGGAGCTGTCCTGTGCACCTTAAAATGTTTAGCGGCATCCCTGCCTCTGCCCAATAGCACACACTTCCCCACCACCAGTTGTAACAACCAAAAATGTTTTCAGACATTGACAAATGTCCCAAGAGACAAAATCAACCCTGGTTGAAAAATATCACCTAGAGCACACAAAGGCGCTTTTGCCATGTGTGGGTACTCCTTACGTATTGGTGGACAAACGCTCTGGAGTCTTCTTTTATTTCTTTGTGTGTGTGTGTATGTGTGTAATTTCTTATTGAGATTAACATTGGTTTACAGTACAATATATGATTCAGAAGTACTAGTTCACATTACTTCAGATATGTTACCACCCCAAAACCACAGTCCTCTAAAAATCCTACATGGCACACCAGGAGGTGACCCTGAAGCAAAACCAGTGGTATGGATTAGAAGCAAAATGTAGGGTGTGAATGAAATAAGGCAAGTCAATGACTTAATAATCTATATGTGATTTCATATACATGGCACTTGAACACAGATGAGGCCTAGAGGGACAATACGATGAATTAACATCAACCCAAAATTCTACTGTCAAATTATTTTACCGTTTACATGTTATTCAACCTCATCATATTAAATACAATTTTTAAATAAAAACAATCAAACCTACCTTGACTGCCCAAAAGTCACATGATAACAACAAGATAATTGTCACCATACAGGCAATAAAGCTGCTGCTGACCAATTCACAGAGAAGATAGACTACAATTGCACTGATGCGAAAGAATAAATGGAAAAATGATGCCACTGGGTGTCTGAAAACCAAAGCATAATAAAAGAAAAGTGATTACATTTTACTACAGGTCCTGCAAATGTAGATGAAAAATGTTTCAGCCATAGCATAACATGCAGTTTTGTCAAAATAAATGACTTGGAAAATAAAAAGCAAGCTGCCTATCTCTCTTTTCCTAAGTCCCACTACTTGATGAGGCCCGCTGTTGTCACAGAAAACACACTACATAAATGTGTGTTAAAATGAGACTTTAACATCTCACTGAATATGAACTTTCACTAAACATATAATGAGAAACTTTAGCAAGCTTGGAGAAATAAAGAAACTATACTCAGGATTTGAATCCTATTTTCACATGTCCAAAAATCAAGTTAATTCCTAAGCCCTCCCTCCACAATTGCTTCAGGGATTAAGTCACCATCAGAACTGAGATACAATCCACATACCGTACAATTCACCAATTGAAAGTATCTAATTCAGTGGTTTTTGTTATTTACACAAAATGTGCACCACCATTACCACAATCAATTTTAGAACTTTTTTAATATCCCCAAAAGAAACCCTGTACCCTTTGGCAGTCAATCCCATTTACCCCTCTCTAACCTTAAGCAGTCACTAGTGTACTTTTTGTCCTATACATTTGCCTATTCCGAACATTTTATATCAGTGAAGTCATATGACTGGCATCTCTCACCTAGCATAATGTTTTCAAAGTTCAGGAAGAATTTTATTTCATTAAGTGAAATTCTTCAAAGAGAACTAAATTTAAAATAGAAATATGTTTGGTTTGGTATTTTCATGTTAGTTTATAAAAAGAATGCAATTCTGAAATTCGCACAATAAAATAAAATGCAAAATATATATTTAGAGTAGTTTGAATATTCTACATATCCTGAATATTCAGAATATTTACAGAATATCTAAAAAATGGTGCATTCTTGATAAATAACAGCTAGAATTAAAAACACCAGCATCCAAATAACTGAATTTGCAGATTTGCAAATAGTATCAAGTAAAATTCGATATGCTAGTCCTTCCCAAAGAAAATCTGAAATGTCACTTTTGCCTCAGACTAAAGATCAATATACACTAGCAATATACACTAATCACAAGCATATTGTAAGAACTGTGTTAGATCGCATCAAGAGGTACCATCTATGGAGAGAATTGCACTTATACTCATACCTGATTTTGGACTTTTTTGGTCTGGTGGTTGTCTCCTCTTCCGCATCAAAGAGCGAAACATCTTCAGTGTCATCATTACTGTCCTAATGGGAAAATTAAATATCCATGAAGCAAAATAAAATTCAGTATTTGTATGCCCACCTCAAGCAAGGCAGCTTGCTAGTCAAAAATGGGAGACAAAATGAAGACCTGGTCACAGTCACGTAGAATTTATAACCCAGGGAAAAGCCAAGTGTAATTCCTTCACACACACACACACACACACACACACACACACACACACACACCCACCCATCTGGCAAAAGCCCCTCATGGGAATCCAAGTGCTTGTCACATCCATCCCTACCCAAGCCTCTGAGCACTGTTGAGAAAATGACTACAGTGATGATGGTCCCACAATTATGACTTCCATTCCCAGCTGCCTTCTTACAAGTCCCAGAGAAGGCTGAGGCCATCAGAACAGATTCACAAAAATCACTTGATCGCATCCTTGTTTCCCTGACCCTTTCCCACAATTCTTTCTCCCCTTATCCAAGGTTAAAACAACTGTGTGTGTTTGGAAAACCTTTTTCTCCCTCTTCCTCGGGGGCTTGTTCTGTTGATTTTCCCTTTATTTACATTTTCTTCTGTCTTCACATCTTTTTATCAGCTTTCTAATCAGCATGTAAAGCTCCTCAGGTATCATTTATTGCTCAAAAATGGTATTTTGAAAACCATGATCCTAAATCTTCTCTTTAATCTACTTTCCTTCTGAGAGCATTCCTTCCTTTCACAACCTTAGGCTCCTAAGAGTGGCTCACACCTCAACACACTGCAATTCACCATCACATCAACCACCATGAATGGTGCTTGTAAGCGGTACAAAGGCAGGGCCTCGCCTGGTGGCGCAGTCGCTTGAGCGCAGCGCTGTGAAGCTATCCGCAGCCCCTGCAGGGCCGGTTCCATCCCAGACGGCCAGTGAGGGTCTCACACGGCGCAGCAGACCTCTCCTGTCTCGCCTGCTGCTCCCCTCAGCAGTGTATTTCATCATTCTGCCTGCTCTGTTCCCCTCCCGCGCATCTGGCCTGTACCCCGGTTCTTGTATAAATAAAAAAATAAATTTTTAAAAAATTAAAAAAAAAAGAGGTACAAAAGCAGGTCAGGGAAGGTATGAGACAATAAAAGTTATGAGACAGAAAGAGAGTTAGAGTTGAAGATGCTGTGATCCTGACACTGAAGATGGAGGAAGGAAGCACAAGCCGAATTTGACTGCGGTGAATTTCATAGAGGTTTGAAGAGTTAAGAGATGCTTACAGACACACCTTTAAGGAGCACCTGGCCTCTAGATAATGGAAAAGCAAGGATAAATCTTATTTCTCCCCTAGGAAGAACAGAGCACAGCTAAGACCTTGATTTTAGCCCCTTGGATTTCTTTTTTTTTTTTTTAACAGTTTTCTTTTTCTTTTTTTTTTTAAAGATTTATTTATTTATTTATACAAGCACTGGGTACAGTCAGAAGCGCGGGAGGGTGAGAGAATTCACCAGAGCCAGAGCAGGGAGCAGAACAGGCAGAAGGACCAAAGTACACTGCTGAGGGGAGCAGCGGGCGCACCATGTGGGACCCTCCTTCGGTGGCCGGGGAGCAGCAGGGGATCCAACCTGCGCTGAAGAGGCTGCGGGCAGCTTCGCAACCCAGCGCTCAACCGCTGCGCCACCAGGGAGGCCCTAGCCCCTTGGATTTCTAATCACCAGAACTTTAAGATAAATCTGTGTTAAGCCACTAAGTATATGATAATTTATACAGCAGCAATAGGAAAACTATACATTAACAAAGTCCAGCGAGACTGAAGTTTTTAATTCCTTAAACAGGTCAATTCGTGCCCCACTGCATCCTTTTACACTGTGGTTCATTCATTCTACCTAGAACACTCTTTTCTCTTAATCTGTTCTTTGAAAGACTGGCTTATTCTCACTTATTTAGTCAATATGGATTACCAACTACATGGCAGGCATTGTTTAAGTGGTACAGAAAAAAGACAAATAGCTCTACACTCTGGGAGTTGCATTACTAAGATAAAGAAGGATGAGGGTGTAACATATTTCAGGGTGAAATTAGAAGTTTGGTTTCGGATATGTAAGTTCAAGATGCTAGTATTAAGAACTTTAAAAAAAAATTAAATGAGGGGTGAACTACTAGAGCCCTACACATAGAATTGGCATGTTCTGATTCATGTGTTGAATGAAAAAGTCTGGCTTCTATATTAAGAATCCGGAGCGAAGAGAGAAGGAAGCAAAAAGGCACATAGCTGGGAGACCGGTTTTGAGGCTAACCCAATAATGGAACCAAGAAGTAATGGTTTGTTCAAGGATAGATGCAGTGGAGGCGGCGAAAAGTAGTCAGATTCCAAATACATTTCAATGCGGAACTGAAAGGATTGGTTCTAAGCAAAGGTAAAAGAAAAGGAGGAAGATTCCAAAGTTTTTGTATTGAGCAGCTAAAAGATGAAGAAGCCAAAGGCAGACCCTGGGCTCTCCAATATTTAGAGAGCAGAAAGATAAGAAGGAATGAGCCATGGCAGATTAAAAAAAAAAAAAAAAATGCTGAACCAGGTGAGGGTAGTGTCCAGAGAATCAAGGAAAGAGTTTGCAGGAAGAGGATCTGATCAACTGTGCCAAATGCTGATCACTGAAAAAGGACCATTATTTCTAATAGATGATTAGCAACATCAAAAATAGCAGCTTCAGCATGGTAGTGGGAAGAGGGAGAAAATCTGGCTAGAATGAATAGAAAAATTAAAAGGTTAAGTATAGACATATGTTTTAAGGAGCAAAGAATGCAGTGATAACTAAAAGGGCAGGTGAAGTGTTTTTATTAAGATAGGAGAAATTAAAGCATGCTTACATGCTGCTGTGAACAGCTTTTGAAAGGAAAAAAAAATTGACAGTGCAAAAGAAGTGAGAATTGCTAACCAAAACCTTCTAGTAAGGAAAGAAGGGATGAACAAGTAGAGGGGACTTGTATAAGAATAGAGCCCAGACAGTTCAACTGAGAGGAAAGCAGACTATATGGGAGATTATGGGCAAAGATGCAGAAAGCATGTGGTGTGAAAATTCTGAGGTTTCCCACTTTCCAGTGAAACAAGAAGCAAGGCTATTTGTCAGTTAAGAGAATAAGGAAGAAATGTTGAAGGTTTTTTTGAAAACAGAGAAAATTTTAGTAGTGGTCTAAGATGATGGGAAAATGAAGGGACCCTGGAAATACAGTGATGATTGTCCGATAGCATTAAGGGCCGCTTCAAGTTCATGATCACAAATCCACAGTGTGTATAATCAACAGGGCTGCTTTTCTTCGGCATCCTTCAGCCTCGTTGCAGCTTCTGAAGCCAAATTTAACCATCATTGGATTTTCTCCATCAAGTCACCTCCTCAAAGTGATCTTTGTGATCATAAATGCTACAGTTGTCATATTCTCAGCACTTGCTATTGCATCACCTTGTCTTTGCTATTATATGAAAATATCTTTAGCCATGTAACATGCCTCCACACCCAAACCCTTGACAAGCTCCCATCCCCTAGTGCCCTCCAACTCACCCAGCAATTCAAGGCAAGAACCTTATCTGTGGGGTCCGCAGCCCTGTTCCAGGGCCCAGATCACTGCCTGAGTCAGAGTAATTCCTCAGTAAGAAAAAAATATCTATGATAATCTATGTGGAAAAGCCCTATAAACACTACTTTTCAATTTAAAAACTTAAATAGGAAGAGATTAAATAATCTTTACTGATCTTAAACCTGTGGACAGTAAATTAATCTGAAACTCTAAGGGTACTGACATGATTCATCTAAGTGGACGAACCATCACCAATGTTTATTTGGCTAGGAAATCGTGAAGGAAGGTCCTGGCGGTGTCTCACTAGAGGAGTGCACTGCACCCCTGAGAGTCAGGCTGCTGCTCCTCCCCGTCGCTGTCCAAGAATAGTTGAGTCTTAAAACTCGAGACCACCCCAACGTCACAAGTGAGAGGGTTTCTGCAGCCTGTTAGGGGGACGAGCCATAAATGCGCGCGGCATTTATCAATAATGCGCTTCTGCACACCCCCAAGCAAGCTGCCCCTCCTCAGCGCCGCCTGGGTGACCCGCCGCCAGAGGCCTCGGGGTCCCCCCAGCAGTGATCGCTGGTCCTCCGGCCGCCCGGGCTTAGGCAGCAGGCGGGCACACCGACACAACGCGCCGGGGAAGATCCACTCGCGCCCCTCGGACCCGGTAGGCCAGACCCCCAGCCACCACCACCCGCTTCCCGCAGCCATAGCCCCTCACCTGCTGCAACATGGCGTCGCGGCGCCAGTCCCACTTCCGGGAGCCACGTCAGCTGGGCAGCCGGGCGGGCACTGGAACTGAGACAGCCAGATCACCACCCGCCAAAGAGGAATCAAGGTACCAGCCCGAGCCAGTCCCCACTTCCGCTTACGTGACTTGGGGGAGGAGCTATTGTGGGGGCTGGTCTGTGGGCGGGGCTAGAGCCGCACACCGGAAGAAGGCGGAGCGAGATTGTGGGCGGGGTGAGCCGCGGGGCGGGGCCTGGTCCTAGCTGGAGCCAAAACCAGCTGGCAAGGAGCCCAGTGGGCTTCTAGGCGAGCACTCGGCGGCTCGTCGGGTGGAGATGTTGTTGCTACCTGAGGGATCATTTCAGCCAGCCCTAAAGGTGAGGGGCTGGGGAAGAGGCTTTATCATTCCATGGTTTCATTTTGTCTGAGTTTTACGTATATTTCTAAACAGTATAACTGTTGTACTTTAAATTTTAGAAACAGTTGGAAAATAAATGTTTTCCTGCAAAGAGATAAAAAGTTGTAAGAACACGGCAGAAAGAGTCTAGAGTAACATTGGAAAATAATATTATAGGTGAAAAACACCAGGAGCAGCTCTCTGCTCACCTGTGACTATGCAAGGACTTCTCTTCCTTTCTCCTTTTCTAATAAGCCTGACATTTTTAAAATGTATTTTAAAAAAAGAAAAAACCACAAAACAGGGATAGACAAGTTGAAAACGTGGGTACTGGAATTTGAGCACCTGGATTTGAGTCTAGGTTCCTTCACTTACCAATCACTTACCAATCAAACCTATATAGAGGTTACTTTCTTACCTCTTTATAGTTCTTTTCTCAAGCAAGCATAAAATGGGGAAAATGCTATCCTACAGGGTACCTGGTAAACAGGTGGGCTATTGTTTTAAGATTAGCCGCTAATAGTGCGATATTGTTGGATGAAGAATGTGAAACTCAAAGACTTTAAGTCATATTTGAAACCATGTCAAACTTCTGTGGGAAATCTCCTGGAATGACAGGTATTAGCATGTTTCTCTAATTGAGAAGATTCTTTCCATTAAAATTACATGCAACATGACGTCCCGGCACCAGCCCCACTTCCAGGAGTCATGTCAGCATGTATTTTTACATGACTATTTGCCAGTGTTTCTTCAAACCTAATAGCCTAATTTCGAAAATTATCAATGGAGGTAAAGGTTGGCAAACACTTGCATTCCTGTACTTGAAGTGAAAAGTGGAGGCTTTGAGCAGGTAGCCTGTACAGAAGACCTGCCTATGTCATGTTTGGGGGGGCTTTTTCTTGAGGGGGTCAGTGTGGATTGCAGGTTTTGTAAGTTTGGAATTTTTTTTATGTTTTGCATTCTATTTGAATTTATTACCATCATTTAAGAAAATCTCAGTTCAGTTTATTTCCTGTGTAGTGAAAAATACAGTTCTTACCTATTGTGTCTCTCTGCCATGTTTCTCCTTTAGTACACAAAGCACTTCTAGTCACCAAACAGGTGGGAATTTTTTCCCCACATCAAGGAAGTCTGCAACACCAGCCAGATGTCTTACAATTTAATCTACTTCTCACACTATCTACCCAGAGATAGTTTTCAGGTGCTACAGGTTAGGAACCTCTCACTAGTTGTCTTCCTTTTCTCCAGGTGCCAGTTGCAAGACCAGGTTATTACCAGTCCTTCAGACCAACTGCTGTAGCTCAGAAACCAACTGCTATACAGGGTTCCAACAACCCCGTCTTGAGTACAGTTTATTTTCTATAACAGCTCACAAAATCCAGAGAAATTATTATATTTACCAGTTTCTTAAGGCCATAATAAGGATCCAGATGAACAGCTAGATGAAGAAGAACATAAGGTCTGGCAGGGTCCCAAGCACAGGACCTTCTGTCCCATGGAGTTGGGTACATTACCCTCTTAGAGTGGAGGTGTTTGCCATCCTGAAAGCTCTCCAAACCCCATACTCTTGGGATTTTATGGAGACTTCCTCATTTAGGCACAATCAATTATTAACTCTATTTCTGTCCCCTCCCCTATGTCTCCAGAGAATGGAAGGAAGAGGGCTCTGAAAATTTCAAGCTTCTAATCATGATTTGGTCTTTCTGATTACCAACCCCACCCAGGAAGCCCACTCAAAGTCACATCATTAGAACAAAAGGTGCTCCTAGAATTCTTAACACTCAGGATTTTACAAGGATTTTGGGAACCATGAGTTAGGAACTGGATCAAAAACAAATATTGGGGGCCTCCCCGGTGGCACAGCAGTTGAGCGCTGGGTTGCAAAGCTCCCCGCAGCCTCTGCGGCGCCGGTTCGATCCCTGGCTGCTCCCCGGCCACTGGAGGAGGGTCCCACATGGCGCGCAGACCTCTCCTGCTGCCCGCTGCTCCCCTCAGCAGTGTACTTCAGTCCTTCTGCCTGCTCTGCTCCCCGCTCTGGCTCTGGTAGATTCTCTCACCCTCCCGCGCTTCTGACTGTACCCAGAGCTTGTATAAATAAATAAATAAATCTTTTTTAAAAAAAAAATATATATATATTGGAACAACAGATACCAGCGAATGAAAAGAGAAACTCATGCCATTTGCAGCAACATTGATGGAGCTTGAAGGGATAATGCTAATCAAAGTAAGTCAGAAGGAGATAAGTACCAGATGGTATCACTAATATATGGAATATAAAGTAACTAAATTAATAGTCAGATAAACACATGCTGAAAAAATAACTCTTGATAGGTGACTACAGAACTGAGACACCAAGGTGGGAGGGGTTGGGGGAGGGGCAAGAACAGGGAGGGAGGGAGGCATAATGGTCTATGATGGTGAAATTGGTGGTGGATGCCCCATGTGGTAAAACCTGATGGGGCTATCCAATGTTACCTCAGTTAAAAATAAGTAAATAAATAATATATATTTTTCAACGATAGAAAAAGAAATACTCCTAGTTGTCCTTTCTCTTAGGAAATGACTAAGGTTTCAGGAGCTGTATGCCAGGAACAGGATGTAGAGATACATATTTTTTCTATTATCTCACACCATCCTATGGCCATGCTGTCTCCTTGGATGGGAACTGAACTTTCCAGTGGGTCATACCTCTCATGGTGAGGACACTCTTCTAAATAACCTGCCCTGGTCCCTGACATTTATCCTTATAAGATTTAATTAGAGACCTCACACACTTGATATTAGTGTCCCTCTTTTTGTAGAAAGGATAATGCGCTTAATGTTCTTCCGCGGCAGTTATCCCTAAAAAGGAAAACAACACACAACTTTCTCAAAGGCAACAGCCAACCACATTGAGGGCTTCTCCTTCTAGATTCTTAACTGAAATTGCCTGGTTTCATTAGACTTCCTTGCAAAAATGGCAGGGAACACCAATGCATTATTGTGATATAATCCCATCAGTTCGTTTACTAGAAGAATGACAGCATTAGTTTGGTAGGGATGAGTGACATTCCCAGTGATCAGCTCCCATCACCCATCAATGAAATTGGGCTTCCATAAGTCTCATTGAATGGTTTTCAGAGGGAATACAGATGCCAACTTCTGCCAGCTTCCCTGTTTTCTTCGATAGGAATTTAATTAGGAGGTTCCATATTAATTATCAGGAAACAATCAAAATATCAAACCAAAACAGAAGCCAAACACCAACATCCACTTGGTATTCTGTTTATTGTAAGACGTTATGATTTCCCAAGGATGGTTCAGATAAATATGTTTTGTCCAAGTTCAGGAGCTGCGATTTTTCCTTGCTTCATGAAATTATCTATAGACAGGCCTTTGATTTTCCTGATCCATGCAGCTCTGCTGGCTTTTTCTGGACTGATCACTTCAGTGGGCTTTGCAGCCTGATATTCCTTCATCTTGGCTTCCCTATACTCACTCTCTTCCTTCACAGTCAACAATAGGAACTCGGTGTTCATTCGGAAGGGGTTAAGGGCCATACAGTTGCGAGGCCATTCTTTCTTGACAGGCTGGACTGTCGTGCCCACCGGTGGAGCCAGCATGCGGTTTGTTTTAATGACCTGCATACTGGTTAAGGGGTTGAAGCTGCGCACTGTCCCATCAACTGAACTGGTTGCCCCGTCTTCACCCTTTAAATTACCAGAGAACCTGGAACGGATAATCACTGGCTGGGGTATGGTGGACTGGACTTGGGGACTTTGCAAAGAGTTCTTCAAGTTGGGTTGCAGTTTCTGGATTTCCAGGGGTGTATTGGTTTGTTTCACATCTATGGGAGGGTTGCTGATTCTTAACCTATCAACTTCATGTTGGACTGATTTTCCCTTCAAACTCAGGACCTTCCTTGGGTATGGAATTGAAGGCCCCCAGGCATCAATGACTTGGGTTTGGGGCCTACCGGGATAGGCAAACTTCCCTGAACTATGGGCTTGCTGCAAGGCATTGACAGTCAGGAGGAACCGATCAGGAGACATAGGGACTTGCCAGGACCTTTTCTTTGAGTAATTGACCAAGTCTACAGGAATGTTCAGTTGTCTTTGTTTCTCTGTATCAGCTGGTAAAAAAAAAAAAAAAAAGACAAATCAATGCTCCTGAAAAATGTTAAGTACTTATGCATGAAAGTTAAGTCCATCCTAACTGCTTGCAAATTGAGGCATGCCACCATCGTGGGCAAAAGTCCTTTCTGATATCAAAAATTATGGCATAATCAACACATGTTTTTAACAAGTAGGCTAGTACTTAAGTGCAAATGTATATTAACTGTTAGATAAGCATATTTTGGAGGGAATGTATGTAATTGCAATGCTCTAGTACTTTTGAGACTTCCCTGTGGGGAAGGTCTTCACACCTCATTTGTAAATAAAATAAGCCTTATAAAATCTATACTGACATCTATGTTTTCAACAAAAATTCTATCACAAAGTTTGATCTCAACTTTATTCATCAAATTTGACTTCAAATGATCTTTGGATGTTTCGCAATATCAAACCTACCTTCAAAAAATGTCACACTTGAAAAATGCAAAATAGCACATGACCAAAAGGCAATTCCTGAACAGGGGTTCCCAAAAATATTTTGAGCAATAAATAGCAGCAGATAAAAAAGCCGCTGACAAGAACAAGAGCTTCATTATATTACACTGCATTGTGGTGAACTATAACTGAAGGGATCACACTCCAACATACTTAAGACCCTTTAAGGTAACAAGGATGTCTTCAGAGGTGAGAAAAATCTATATATTGAATAAGTCTCTCATTTGGTTTTTTCAATCCCTATAATGCCTCATAAATACAGAGAAAGCACAATATCCATTTTATAAAGGAAAAAATGAGTCATGAAAAGTAGAAATGATTTATCCAGTGTGACCTAACAAGTAAAAGTCTGTACCCAAACACACCAATCTATAACCAGCAATGACAATACAATATATATGCTTATATATTAATATGCTTGCCCAAATATGTGTTATCCCAAGATATCTGTATATAGACACACTAGGATGGAATGAAACTTCAGATTTTCCCCTGAGATATAGGTACTCATAGGTTCTTTGCAGCCTATTTACAATGGCCAAGTTATGAAACCTAAAAATCCAAAGACAGAAGAGTGGATCAGGGAAATACAGTACACACACAGATATATGTACATATATATATATATATATATATATATGCAATAGAATACTACTCTGCTATAAAAAAAAATGATGAACTATTGCCAGTTACAACTACATGGATGGAGCTGGAGGGGATAATGCTAAGCAAAATAAGTCAAAAGGAGAAAGATGATTTCACTCATATCTAGAATATAGAAAAACAAAGCAAAGTGTCGGACAAAACCTAATAACAAACCCTTGACATCTGACTGAAAAACTGAGGCAACCAGGAGGGGAGGTTGGAAGGGTAGGAGTGTGGATGAAAGAAGGCCCAACATTTGTAGAGGTTTGAACCTATAACCCCTAAAACAAATATAATAATGTGAACCAACTCTACCTCAATAAGAAGTGAAAATTCCTGCCTGATCTTTATTAATTATACAATACTTTGCTAAAACTAAATGAAATTAAGATGTCAAAATTTTCCCCACTCTCCTTCCACTCCCAGAATAAACTGTTCTGCCTATATGTGTGTGTGCATGTGTGTGTGTGTGTGTGACAAACCACCCAGTTTTTCTCCTTTTTTAAAATGGAATTGTGATGAATTCATAATTCATTAACTTGTCTTTTTCATATAATCATATATTGTGAATCTCTTCCCAAGTCACTATATTTCATAGTATGGAGTTTTCTTCTCCTTAGTCATTGTCCAATGACAGACATTTATTGATAATCAACTTTAAAAGAAATGCATTTTTACTTACCATACAAGCAAGCACAAAATGATGGCTGACACCCAATGTTGGCCTAGCTGCAGAGGGAACTCTCACTCATTGTTGAGGGAAATGTAAAATTATACAGTATATTTTAAGGACACTTCTGGCAATAACGGTCCAGTTTTTAGTGTAATTATCCTTTGGTGCAGCAGTGTCTCTCCTAGAACTTTACCCTACGGGTATATCTACCTATTCAGGTACACAGACAATATGTATACACAAGGATGTCATTATTAGTATACCCCTCCTAAAACTTAATTCATTAAGTCTCACCTGAAAGCTAGACTCTATAGGGAATTCAATTCAAAGAAACTATTATATTAGAAAAATATTTGAAAGGAATTTTAAATTTTACCAAAGTCTCTCAAAAACAACAAAGGTACATCCCATTCCTGATGTCCAGCAACTCTTCTTAAAAGCCTCTTTCCTCTCTCTCTCCCTTATGGCCTCATCTCACATATGTAACACCGACCCCCAAAATCTATGTCTTGAAATCTCTTGAAACATTCTCTGAAACCAGTCCTGACTGCCACTTCTCTCACTCCCGTGTCCATTACACAGATTGCTGACACAACAGTCTGAATAATGAAGAGACTGAGTAAGCAGGAAAGGAGGCAGAACTGACAACTCAGTTCTAAAAAGGATGAGAAAGAGGACAAGGAAAATCCATCCCTCTAGGAGAAGCCGGACATTTTATCCATTCTGAATTCTCAAATTATCAAAGCTATTGACCTACTGAAAAACTAAAGATTAAGGAGTAGTAGGGCAGCGGTAGGAGGGGGAGGATATATCTTGCCACAAATTCAGAATAAAGTATCACCATTCATCTTACCTCCTGCGATGGATTTTGCTTCCAAATTCTCCTGCCCATAATTCATGCCAAGTGCTTCCTTAGAAACAGGACTCTTCTTGTCTCTTCTGGGTGATTTTGACTTTCCTTGACTTTGAGGTTCCTCTACTAATGCTATTCAATTAAGATTGAGGAAGAAACTGTTGTATTACATCATTCATTAGGGGTGAATAATGGGGGTACAGCTGATAAATCAACAGATTTTCACACAAACTATCACCTTATTATTTGTTGTTGTGTGAAACTAGGTCATCACCTAAAGCCTAACTAAGTCTAGATCATCTCCTAACTCCCCTCCATCCACTTTTTATAATGATTATCAAGCTTTAAGTGCAATCTAAAACTCTGAATTCTCTCTCCTCAAGAAATAGTTATTTGTAGTGTACAATTCTTGGAGGCGATCTCCTATGTTCTCTAAGGATCTGTGGGTCAGTTTCACACACCAAATATAGGGCAGGTAAAAGGAAGGAGTCTGGCTACTTTAGCCCATATATAATTTATTCTTTGTATGTCTTATAAATGGCAAGAGCTATACTACTGCCCCTTTCCAACTTACACACAAACACACACACACACACACACACATATCTATCTGCTTTATAACTAATATTTTCCAGGTACACACATTATCAATAAGGCATCAAGAGATAATACATTCTGCCTGCAACATTTTTTTCTGCATTATAATATCTTGTATCCACCTGGGGAAATAATTATGTAGTATATATTTGGATTGAGGGTGGGAGAGAAGAATCTTGGTTGCTTGATTTTGTTTTAATGGCAAGTATTAAGAGCTAGTGCCATCTACTCTTAAAAATTCTAGTAAGTTTGAAAACCTATACCTTGAAAATCAGGGGAGTCCCTTGAGTTGGCTAACAAGTTGATGAATCAAAGAGAATGGCTCCCACCTTCCTTCAGGTTAGAATTTATGTCATCGAGAAGTCATTGGCCAAAATATCCCACAAAGAAGCAGTCCTGGGCCTCCCCGGTGGCGCAGCGGTTGAGCGCTGGGTTGCGAAGCTGCCCGCGGCCTCTGCGGCGCCGGTTCGATCCCCGGCTGCTTCCCGGCCACCGGAGGAGGGTCCCGCATGGCGCGCAGACCTCTCCTGCCGCCCGCTGCTCCCCTCAGCAGTGTACTTCGGTCCTTCTGCCTGCTCTGCTCCCTGCTCTGGCTCTGGTGAATTCTCTCACCCTCCCGCGCTTCTGACTGTACCCAGTGCATGTATAAACAAAGAAAGAAAGAAAGAAAGAAAACATGCCTCTATAAAAAAAAAAAAAAAAAAAAAAAAAAGAAGCAGTCCTGATGCCCCCCTCACCCCTCTACCCCACAGACACCTCTGAGACTGCCTGGGATTCAGCTTTCTTACCAGAAGTTGCCTTCAATGTCCTCAGGAGCACATGAGACTTGGGAGGTTTGCTCAGCAAGGAGTCCAGTGTCACTATTTGTTTACTAGACATGGAGTCCTTCAGGGTGTGGACCTGAACACTGGCCTTGGAGGAACTGTCTATGAGGCCATTTTCTTCCCTGTCTTCCTCTCTATCCTTCTTCTTTTGCTTGGTCCGGTCCAGAGAGTACTGCCACTTTATATTCTCAAACTGGAACATGAGAATATTGCTCTCCGTGTTGATCAATATCCTGGAACCCAAACAACATCACCCACTAAAGAAGCATGGAGGCCCCCATTAGACATTTCAATTACTGTTCCACCCAACCCTCAGGCCAAGGGAACAGTACCCAGAAATGAGGGCTCACGCAAGGTGGCTGCAAAGTGGCACAATTATTGGGGGGTCCAGGGCAGTGAAAGGTAGGAGCTGGCCACGCAGGGGAGGGTGTTGGCACTGTAGCTGTTTTCTTTAAAAATAAATGTGAGCTGGGCACGTAAGATCTGATTACGCTGCTTCTCATGTTAAAATATTTTTAAATGAATTTCTGTTCCTAGTGAATGCTAATTACCTAGGATGCCCAAGGCAGAAAGGCTTAGGTACTCAGCACACAAATGTCTCAAAATTCACTTTTATCAAGGACAGTATCCAAAAATCATGTTTCTAGTGCTATAGGGATGAGGACATTCTCGTGGGGCGGGGACTTCTCACCCACACTATCCCTCTAGCCCCACTTATCACTCCATGGTCTATGGTATGCTTAAACAGAACGTGTGTACTTTATAAGGCAGGCTGGTTTCTGGCTTCCCTAGCCCATACTTTTAGGCCCTTGTAGAAAGAGTTCCTAACCTGGCCCCGCCCCCAGCACTGCCCCGCCCACCCATTGTTCTCCTCTTTCACAATGCTCAGGCTGCAGGCCGCTTTCCCACCTCTACACCTATTAATAGATTTCCTGTAACCATAAACAAGAAATGGAAATACTATGTGTAGGTTCCTTTCTGCTTCAAAAGTCTGCAATTTAAGACCACAACCGTTAGTGTAAACTTTCTGTAAGAGTGATTTGTTGTGGTAGAAAATGCTGGAATGGAATTTGGGAATCATTCCAAAAAGAAATCTCCAGACTTATTCTTAGTGAAGCTGAAAGGAAATCCTCTCTCTTTGGATGAAAAAAGAATAGAGGGTTATTTGGTTGGTTGGTGTGTGTATGGGGGAGTGGATGATTACTTCATAACTTAAAAGTGTTAATTTGTATCACTTTATTACCAGCCTGCTTCTTGTAACAGAAGTAGAATTAGTAAATTCTCATTAAAAAGAAAGAAATTTATTAATTAATAAAAAGAGAAAATAAATAAATGTTTTTTTTTCTTAAAAAAAAAAAAAGCAATATGGTTCAGAGACATGAACTGATAGCTCAAGTGAGCCTGTGTTAGAATTTAAAAGTTATTCTATTGGGTTATTTTTCACACAATAGCACCCTGAACCTAGCATACTACAAACATAATCCTATGGGTCTGGTTTCTGTAAACTTACATGCCCAGTTCTACCCCACTGGACACTGGACACCTACTGCCATGCCCCATTTCCTGTAAGTCTTTGCTTCAGAGACTGGCAGTGGAGCTGGATGTGTGATCAGGGAGCAAGCAGGGGCCACACATTTGCACAGCAGTGGTCCTTGCAGGAGAGCCCATTGCATGTACTATATGATTTGCCCACAGATCCAGAACAAATTAAGAGTAATGTGAAGCCTAACTGCTAAGTTTTGTGCAAAATCCTACTGGTCCCCCATAAGACTATTACTCTACAATAGCCAAAATTAGAGGAGTGCCCTACCAGCTCTCTCCTACTGCCAGTAAATCCAGGACTGGTGTTCCAGAGGCAAAAACATTCCACCCAAACAGAATTGCTCATGGCTCTGACCTCCACACCTACCACCCACCTGTTGCCCTGTAAAAAGAAGGACAGCACAGGATCACCTCTGCCATTGACTTTCATCACCTTCAGACAGTTCCCATTTAGGAAATTGTAAATGCGGATCTTGCCATCTGCACAGGCACTGATGACCCGGAGAAAGAGAAGGGCCACGTGGAGCACCTCCCTGAAAGGGAAACAGAGGAACAGGCAGTCCCTATCTTCTTGGAAGTTGCTTGGGTTTGTTTGTGGTTTGCTGTGTTTTGTGTATGGTTGGAGGCAGTGGTCATGACTGTACTTGAAGTTTTGCCATCATGTTATAGTCCTGGACGTAAGCCATTAACCCTCTAAACTTGGCTATGCTCTCTCCTCCCATTCTGTAGTTGAGTTTCCTGCAGTTTAGTCACAGTGCCACAAAGTGGCAAAAATCAAAGTTATTTTGGTGGAGTAGGAGGGCCTGATATGTAGATCATGTTTTATCCTTATAATTTGATTCCTGTTTATTGACTTCTACTACAAAAGCCATCCTGAGAATCATTTGATGTTTTGATTCCCTTTCCAGTAGTATTATTATAAAGAGAAAGAAAACAGCAGGGAAAATCATCATCTTTATGTGAATCAGTTGGTATTTGGGTGGTTTCTTTTGGCTCTTAAATGATGGCTTTCATTCTTTTTGTAAAATATCCTGAAGGGTCACTGTACCAAAGGTTGAGATTTATGAGTTCCTGTTTGTAGTGACCAGCAGAAAAAGAGAGGGGCCCAGGAGAAGATTTAAATAGATGCCTCCAACAAAGTCCTCCTTACAACAAGTTGGACTCTAAACGGTGGCATATTCAATTCTGAGAAGTGTAATTGCTCCTTTTTCTGTAAATGATACTAAAAAATTGAACTTGATGCTACCAGTTTGTTAGATATCATATGCAAAGCAAGTCCACTAGCCCCTGACACCTATACCCATTCAAATCCATGCATGCCCTAGCTCATGTGCTACCTGCTTCATAAAACCATCCCTTGTCTCCACCACCACTCCCCATACACATACAGAAACTTTAGGAATCTGTCATTCACTTGGGCACAACCCATGTCTCATTTACCTTCACATGCTTAACACCAATCACAGTGCCTTGCCCAAAGTAGTCCCTCCAAAATATCTGTTGGAAAAGTGAGCATCTTCTCATGTCTCAGTATGATCATTGCTACAGTATGTTAAAAGAATACACCCACCCCATATCACTTGACCTGAACCTTGGTTATATTCCATGACCAGAGTAAGACTTTTCAAGTCCCCAACCACTAGCAAAACAAAGCTAACAAACCTTGAATTGCAGAGCATGTTTAGCAAACTCAAAGAAGAGCAAAGAAGTCAACATTGTTTGAATCCTTTTTCATGTGATAAAGATAGACAGACAGACAGATAGATAGATAGATAGATAGATAGATAGATAGATAGATAGATAGATAGATAGATAGATAGATAGATAAATAGAATATAAATCAATCTATGGTATAAAATAAGTATAAAAAAGTCCAGTAGGGCCTTCCTGGTGGTGCAAGGGGTTAAGACGCAACCTATGAAGCTGTCCGCAGCCTCTGCAGCACGAGTTGGATCCCCTGGCTGGCCAGGGAGCAACCCACATGGTGCAGCAGACCTCTCCTGACTCGTCCACTGCTCCCCTCAGCAGTGTATTTCAGTCAATCCGCCTGCTCTGTTCCCCACTCTGTCTCTGGTGAATCCTCTCACCACCCCCCCACACACACCTCTGGCCTGTACCCCAGCTCTTGTATGCAGAAATAAATAAATCTTAGGGGAAAAAAAAAGTCCAATTAAAAAAAGTGCATTAGGGCCTCCCCGGTGGCGCAGCAGTTGAGCACTGGCCTGCAAAGCTCTGCAGCGCCGGTTCAATCCCCGGCTGCCGGGCGAGGGTCCCACATGGCACACAGACCTCTCCTGCCGCCCGCTGCTCCCCTCAGCAGTGTACTTTATCCCTCTGCCTGTTCTGCTCCCCACTTTGGCTCTGGTGAATTCTCTCACCCTCCTGCGCTTCTGACTGTACCCAGTGCTTGTATAAATAAATAAATAAATCTTTAAAAAAAAGTCCAATTTTTTCCCAAGATGGAGATCCAATAACTTTATTGGCGTCCTAAATGTATCTTTGCACAAGGAGAAACATCTTGTCATAGGATGAGTTGCCTCTTTGTATATCTCTTTTGATCTTGCTGAACTGTGCTTACACTTCTCATTGATTCCTGTGACATTTGGTAGTTTAATCTTTACCATTATAGCCTAGTCATTTAGAGCACAGGTTTTGGGATTAGAAATCTAGGATCAAAACCTGATCCTACCACTTAATGGCTTTGGAATCTTGAGAGATTAACTTAATCTCTCAGTCTTCAGTTCTTTCCTATGTGAAAGGATAATGATTTGTGCCTCATAGGACTGCTGTCAGGATTAAATAAATTGAGGTATTTTAAAACAGTACCTGACATAACAGTGATGATTATAATCCTGGCACAACACAATCCCCTTTCACATTTTATCCCTGTCCTATAAATAAGTCATTTGTCTCCTTCTTTGTTCCTTCTTCATTAAAAGACCCAAGAGAGAGTGATGTCAGTGAAATGGTGGAGGAAACAACTCCAAAATTCTACCCTTCCATTTAAGCAATGAAATACTGGCAAAGAAAAGAAAAGAAAAAACTTGTCAGAAACAACTTTCTCAGAACTCTGGAAAATAACCCAAGGTTTGCAGAAACCTAGGGAGCACTTACACAAGAAAAATTATTTGGTCTCAGTAAGAACAGTCAACTTTGTGACATATTACCTTACCCTGGTCTAGTTCCCAACTCCCTAACCCCATGTTAGCCTTGAAAATAGCCCACATTCCTGGTACTGAAGAAAACAGTACAGACTTCATTTGTAGTGAATTATTTGACCTGTCTGGTGACTTCTTGGAAGACTGGCTCAAAAAACTTGTCTTTATTTCACCTTAGTAGGAATCCACCCAGCGCTGAAGTTGCTACTTGGGAAACATTTCTTTAAAAATCTATAGGCAAATGTTTTAGTCATTTCTGCCTATGGGAATAAATATCTGTTGGGGCAAGCAATACACTAACAAAAAAGCTTTGGAAGAAAGGCTAGGGAATGAAATGTCCATAAGGACTCTGAAAAGCCCAAATATATTCCTAGAAATCTATATAACCACACGCATACCCAGGACTGTACAAATGCTTGGGAAAGAAGTGGGAAAGAGTGAGACTCTAAGTTGGCACCCTTGACTGACCTTGATGTTCTGCACAAGCAGGTTCTCCAGGTGTCTATGGATTTGTTGTAACTGTGCAAGGCATCAAGAATCAATGTGAATGTCACTGAATGACAATGAGAATGAGAGTGGCTTGTAGCTGAGGTGGGGTGGGAGACTCATGAATGCAAGGAATGGCAACCAACATGCTGGGAACAAATTCTTTTGCATTAACTAAACAAAATCCTACTGAATCATGCTTGGAAGATTTTTCAAATATATGATTCTGATTTTCAGGTGACTTCCTAAGACTGACTCCTTCCCTAAGATCAATATTTGATCACCTATATGACATGCTAAGTTTACTGATAATCACTTCAGAGTTGTACAAGTCCTCCACACAGGCCTTCCTGGCCTCCACTCATCAGTAGTGTAGTCATACACCACAGACAGAACAGACACATATGTATCCATATTCCCTTTCACCTCCTCTAGAGTCAGTGGGTCCTATAAAGATATAAAAAAAATCTAGGGTCGGCCTCCCTGGTGGCGCAAGGAAGCACTATCAGCACTATCAAGCTATCACCAGCCACTGCAGCATGAGTTCGATCCCCTGCCAGGGAGCTACCCACATGGCACAGCAGACCTCTTCTGTCTCACCCACTGCTCCCCTCAGCAGTGTATTTCAGTCAGCTCTTCTATTCTGTTCCCCACTCTGTCTCTGATGAATCCTCTCAGTCCCATACCTCTGGCCTATACCCCAGTTCTTGAATGAGTAAATAAATAAATCTTTAAAAAAAATCTAGGGTCATATTTTACTATCCCCTGTTAGCTTCCATTGAAGTCCATTTAGTCTTTTAATCAATTCAAATAGCACTTAGTTTCCTGGAATTTTTTTAATAATTCACTCGGGGGAAGAAGCATTATTTATATATTGTACAGGAGTAACATAGAGCAGCCTGAAAAACCCATGGCCATGGAAGAATCATTAATTGACCACAACGCCTTTTCCAAATAAGCCCAGTTGTGACCTCAGACTACTTCTCAGTTGGCTCCAAGTAACCAGTACCACTAAATTGGAATTGGAATTGTAAAATGAAATGCATTTGCTATCCTAGAATAGAATCTAGCCTATAATTTGTAAGTAATTTCCCTCTTTGAACCCTCAGTTATTTTTAAACCTTTCACATGTGGATAATTTTAAGCTTTTGCGAACACAGAATTCTGGGAGTAAAGACCAATTCCAAGAATTTTACATTTACTGGAATCGGCATCATTTGGTACAGTTCTATAAATACTTCTAAGTTGGTATCATGTGTGTCTTAAGTTTAAAATTTCAAACCCTTCTCAAAATCCACATCTAGTATTGTTATTTCTTGAGAAAAACAAGAGAGGGCGGGAGAGAAAATGACCAACTGAATGGGTGGTAGTGGAAATGCCTAACAGGTAAAGGGGTGAGGAGTAAAAAGACAAAAAGTCAGCAGAGAGCAAGCGGAAGGAACAGAGCTTTAAAAATTGAAATCTAAGCTGTATCAGGAAAAGAAGAGAGAATTACATTAATGAGTCCAGGCCTTCCTGGAACCTACTTTGGATGCTTGAAGGCCATTAGGCATCGCTCATACTTTCCCACCATGCTCCAGCCTATGACCAGGCCATCCACACCTCCCGAGAGGAGGTGCCACTGGTCAAAGTACAGACACTTCACTGCTCCCTCGTGTCCAGTGAGAGACTGCAAGAAAAGATGCCGCTGTTTTCAGCCCGTCGTCAGCTCAGATTGTGATTCCTCTCAGGGTCAACCCTGGACATTTCTTTAGGTGAACCCCAAAGCTATACCTCACCAATTCATGCTGCCATTCACTAGGCATTGACCTGAGCTGGCTCTACTTTTGCTCTAAGAAGACCAGTGAATTCCATGCACTGCCACCCCCCCCACCAACTTCTCTCTCTTTCCAGAACTCTTTCCCCAGTTAAGGGGGAATGTGATCAGGTCTGTGGTTATGGCAGGCCCCATCTTTTTGAGCACCAGAGAGGGCCACAATTCCCCATCCTCTGTTGTCAATGGCTAAGGTTCTCAGCCTCAGGACCTTTCCAGGACCTGGAGGGCACCTGAGATATCCCTGTGCCTGCCACTGCTGGTTAGACCATGGTGACAAGATGGTCTTAGTGGGAAAAAAATCCACCAGCCAGGTCAGCAGCTTCTTAACTGTGATCTTGCATTCCTGGCACAAATGATATCTCACCAGTACCTACTGGAGCCAGAGAGTTTCAAATATAGCAACAACATCTTTTGTGTGTGAACAATCACTCTCAAGACAGTCAATGTTCTCTTCTCATCACAGAATAAGAAGGAAAACAAGTGTGACTTTGTTCATTCCTCTACCCCACACCAGATTCAGATTCAGAGTATTCTGGAAGAGGAAAAAGGTACTTGACCTCTGTTGTTATTCAAAGTGCCCAGTCCACATAGTGTGCTGAGTCAGAATGCAGCCTTTCTCCCATCCCCATGATAATGGGTCACATGGACACTGACTCTCCACTGAATCAGGACACCTTTTGTGGGTCCTTCCCCTCAGCTTTTAAGGACCACCCTTCTGGTGAACTAACTTGGACTGCTCTAGGATAGTCTGGGGAGCTACACAGGAGGAGAGTTTCAGTCTCCTCCAATCACCACCAGGGTCCTGTCCCCCACAGCCCACTGCCCTCTTACCTTGATCAGCTGGGTGTTGACAAGGTGCCATACTTTGACTACCCCTCGCTCACAGCTGCTCACAATGTAGGTATCATTGATCTTGACAGCCAAGATAGGGTCTTTGTGTTTAAACGTTTTCAGGCACTTCCCTGTGTTTAGATCCCACTCTGAAAGAAAAAGGGAGAGAGAGCAAGGGAGGGAGGGAGTGGAGGATATAGGATTACAATGAATTCCACACCCCCTCCTGGATGCTAAGACTGAGCCCACAAAAACAGACCTCAAAAGGCCTTTGCCTGGCCTGGCACCCCCAGAGACTCACCAACACTCCTGGTACCTGCAACACATAATTCCCTGGCCGCAGCCAACAATGACTAAATTCATGATGCAGGCCCAGGAATTTAGCACTGTAGTCCGTGTGCTAGACAGCTCATCCCCAGTAGGTCTTCTCCTCATGCCTGCGAAGTACTCACTATTAAATAGATTGCAGGAAAATTGTGCCATCTGTGGCGTGTTGTCATTCCTCTCAAATGCTATTCTCCTGACTAAGATCTTGCTCCCCTCATACTAGCCTCTGCCCTGCAAGACTTTCTCAAGGATTGGAGGCCTCTTCTGCCATTCCAGCTTCAAACCCTCATCCTTTCATCCTTTCTGCTCCACTCCTCAAAGTTACCATGCAATGAGGCATTCAGTCAGGTTAAGGAGGGAGAAGAAGTAGGAAGATTTCTTTTTTTTTTTTTAATTAATAAATTTTATTTTTATATTCCCCATGCAATTGCAATCCCCCCATTCTGACCCCAATCCCTCCCCTCCCGCCCCCCACCCCCAAAAGTGTCTCTGGTTCATAGTTTTTGTTGATTTTGATTTTCACTTTCTTATAGTTATTCATTTTCCTGGTCCCTTATTTAAGTTTTCTAGATCCCTGCTATGAGTGAGACCATCCGGTATTTTTCTTTTTCTTTTTGGCTTATTTCACTGAGCATGATCCATGTTGCTGCAAATTGCATGTGTTTATCTTTTTTGAATGCTGAGTAATATTCCATGGTATATATGTACCACATCTTCTTGATCCAGTCATCTATTTTTGGGCATTTGGGCTGTTTCCAAAGCTTAGCTATTGTAAACAGTGCTGCTATAAACATAGGGGTGCAGGTGTTCTTTGGAATTGATGTTTCTGTGTTCTTTGGGTAAATACCTAGGAGTGGAATTGCTGGATCCTGTGGAAGCTCTATGTTTAGTAGGTCCAGAAATCTCCACACTGCTCTCCATAGTGGTTGGACCAGTTTGCACTCCCATCAACAGTGCAGAAGAGTTCCTTTTTCTCCACAACCTCGCCAACATTTGTTGTTGCTAGTTTTTTTAATATGTGCCATTCTCACTGGTGTAAGATGGTATCTCATGGTAGTTTTGATTTGCATTTCCCTGATTGCAAGTGATGTTGAACATTTTTTCATATGCCTGTTGGCCATTCGCATTTCCTCTTCAGAGAAGTTTCTTTTTAGTTCCTCTGTCCATTTTTTGACTGGATTATTTTCTTTGTTGTTGTTGAGTCTCATCAGCTCTTTGCAGATTTTTGTGATCAGTCCTTTATCATTAGTGTTGGGTGCAAAAATTTTCTCCCAGTTGGTGGGGTTTCTCTTTGTTTTTGTTATTGTCTCTTTTGCTGTGCAGAAGCTCTTTAATTTGATGTAGTCCCAGCTGTTTATCTTTGCCTTCACTATCACTGCTTTGGGTGATGTGTCTGTAAAGATGTCTTTGATATGCAAATCACGTAGTGTTTCGCCTATATTTCCTTCTATATATTTTATGGTTTCAGGTCTTATGTCTAGTTCTTTAATCCATTTTGAGTTGATTTTTGTATATGGTGTGAGGTAGTGGTCAAGCTTCATTCTTTTGCATGTAGCGACCCAGTTTTCCCAGCACCATTTATTGAACAAACTTTCTTTGCTCCAATGCATAGTCTTTGCTCCTTTGTCAAAGATTAGTTGACCATAAATCTGTGGGTTTATTTCTGGATTTTCTATTCGATTCCATTGGTCTGTATGTCTGTTCTTGTTCCAATACCATGCAGTTTTGATGATTATGGCTTTGTAGTAGAGTTTGAAGTCTGGGAGTGTGATGCCTCCATTCCCTTCTTTTTTTTTCAGGAGAGCTTTGGCTATTCGGGTTTTTTTGTGATTCCATATGAATTTCATCAATAATTGCTCTATTTCTTTGAAGAATGACATTGAAATTTTGATTGGAATAGCATTGAATCTGTATATTGCTTTTGGTAGGATGGCCATTTTAATAATGTTTATTCTCCCAATCCATGAGCAGGGGATGTCTTTCCATTTCTTTGTGTCTTCTTCTATTTCTTTTAACAGTGTTTTATAGTTTTCTTTGTATAGGTCCTTTACCTCTTTTGTTAGATTTATTCCCAAATATTTGATTTTTTTTGTTTCAATAATAAAAGGGATGGTTTTTTTGATTTCTTCTTCTTCAGATTTATTGTTTGTATATAGGAAGGCTACTGACTTTTGCGTGTTGATTTTGTATCCTGCCACTTTACTGAACTGATTGATGAGTTGAATTAGTTTTTCTGTGGCGTTTTTGGGGTTCTCTATGTATATTATCATATCATCTGCAAAGAGTGATAGTTTGACTTCTTCTTTTCCTATTTGGATTCCTTGGATGTCTTTCTCTTGTCTTATTGCTCTGGCTAGGACTTCCAGTATTATATTGAAAAGCAGTGGTGAAAGTGGACATCCTTGTCTTGTTCCAGATCTTAATGGAATTGCTTTCAGCTTTTCACCATTGAGAATGATACTGGCTGTTGGCTTGTCATATACGGCCTTTATGATGTTGAGGTACGTTCCTTGTATCCCAAGAATTTCAAGGGCTTTTATCATGAATGGGTGTTGCACTTTGTCGAAAGCTTTCTCAGCATCTATTGATATTATCATATGGTTTTTATATTTCTTTTTGTTGATGTGTTGGATAACGTTGATTGATTTTCGGATGTTAAACCATCCTTGTGTCCCTGGAATGAATCCTACTTGGTCGTGGTGAATTATCTTATGGATACACTGTTGGATTCTGATAGCTAAAATTTTATTGAGGATTTTTGCATCAGTGTTCATTAGGGAGATTGGCCTATAGTTTTCTTTTTTTGTGTTGTCCTTGTTCGGTTTTGGTATTAGTGTAATGTTGGCTTCATAGAAAGTGTTAGGTATTATACCTTCCTTCTCAATTTTTTGGAAGAGTTTGTGAAGGATAGGTACCAATTCGTCTCTGAATGTTTGGTAGAATTCATTTGTAAATCCATCAGGTCCTGGGCTTTTGTTTTTGGGGAGGTTTTTGATTACCATTTCAATTTCGCTAATTGTAATTGGTCTGTTTAGGTGTTCTATTTCTTCTTTATCTAGCTTTGGGTGATTGTAGAGTTGGAGGAATTTGTCCATCTCCTCTAGATTGTTAAACTTGTTTCCATATAACTGTTCATAGTAGTTATTAATAATTCTTTTGATTTCTGCTGTGTCCGTTGTGATTTCTCCTCTTTCATTTATTATCCTATTTATTTGTGCTTTCTCCCTTTTTGCCCTTGTGAGCCTGGCAAGGGGTTTATCTATTTTATTTATTTTTTCGAAGAACCAGCTCTTGGTTTCATTGATCTTTTGGATTGTTTTTTTAGTTTCGATTTCATTTATTTCTGCTTTGGTTTTTATTATTTCTTTTCTTCTACTGGTTTTGGGGCTTTTTTGTTGTTCTTTTTCTAGATCTTTGAGTTTCGAGATTAGGTTGTTTCTTTGAGTTCTTTCTTGTTTCTTGATGTGAGCATCTATTGCTATATATTTTCCTCTTATTACTGCTTTTGCTGCATCCCATACATTTAGGAAATTGGTGTCCTCCTTGTCATTCAATTCAAAGAATTTTTTAATTTCTTCTTTTATCTCCTCGTTAGTCCAGTGGACTTCCAGTAGTGTGGGTTTCAATCTCCACGAGGTAGGAGAATACCTTGCCTTCTCTTTATGGTTTATTTCTAGTTTGATGCCTTCATGGTCAGAAAAGATGGTTGGTATGATTTCAATCTTGGTGTATCTGTTGATGTTTGTCTTGTGCCCCAGTATATGATCGATCCTAGAGAATGATCCGTGTGCGCTTGAGAAAAATGTATACTCAGATTTTTTTGGGTTTAGTGTTCTATATATGTCTGTTAAGCCTAAGCACTCTAGATCCTTATTTAGAGCTTTAGTGTCTTTACTTATTTTTTGTCTTGTTGATCTATCCATTGTTGATAGTGGTGTGTTGAAGTCTCCCACTACGTATGTGTTTTCTCTGATGTCTGTTTTCAGAGATGCCAATAGTTGTCTGATATATTTTGGTGCTCCTTCGTTTGGTGAATATATGTTAATGAGTGTTATTTCTTCTTGAAGTATTATCCCCTTGATCATAATGTAATGACCACTGGGGTCTCTTTTTATCTTTTTAAGTTTGAAATCTGTTTTATCTGATATGAGTATAGCTGTTCCTGCCTTCTTTTTTGGTCCATTTGCTTGTAGAATTGTTTTCCATCCTTTAACTTTGAGTCTATTTTTATCTTTTGCAGCTAAATGTGTTTCCTGGAGACAGCAAAAGGTTGGGTTTTGTTTCTTAATCCAGCCTGCAACTCTGTGTCTTTTTATTGGAGAGTTTAGTCCATTTACATTTAGAGTTAGTATTGATATGTTAGCATCTGTATTTGCCATTGTGTTTGTCTTTCCTTTGATTTTATTTATTTATTCTTTTAATAACTTTCTTTGGCCTTCTTTTGTTGTTATTCGTCCCTCTGAGGTTCTGGCTTTAGGACTCCTTGTAGTATTTTTTTGAGTGGGGGTTTAGTCGCAATGAAATTCCGGAGTTTCTGTTTGTCTGGGAAGGTCCATATTCTTTCTTCAAAGAGGAAGGAGAGCTTTGCGGGATAGAGTATTCTTGGTTGGCATCTGTTTTCTTGGAGTCTGTTGACTATGTCCCTCCACTCTCTCCTTGCCCGTAGTGTTTCTTCAGAGAAGTCTGATGTCAGTCTGATTGGTTTCCCTTTGAATGTTATCTGTTTCTTCCCTCTTGTTAGTTTCATTATTTTTTCTTTGTCTTGGATTCTTGGGAGCTTTACTATTATGTGTCTTGCTGTATTTTTCCTTTCGTCATGGAAGTTTGGTGTTCTTCTTGCTTCTTGTATATCAATTTTCAGATCCTTCTTAGCGTTTGGGAAGTTCTCTTCAATTATATCCATGAATATTTTCTCTGTTCCTACATCTCTCTCCTCTCCTTCTGGGATTCCTATAACTCTTATATTTCCTTTCCTCATGGAGTCAGATAGTTCCCGAAGTCTTTCTTCGGTCTTTTTCCTTCGTACTTCTCCTTCCTTTTCTGTTTTAGTTCTTTTTATTTCTGTGTCTTCAAGAGTACTTATTCGTTCTTCCATTTCATCTATTCTGCTTTCACTGCCTTTCCCAGAGTTCTTTAGCGTCTCCATTAATTCTTTGATCTCCTGCATTTCTTTTACTTCCCTCTTTAGGGACTCAATGTCATTCTTCTGGTCATTAATTATTTTCCCCTTATCATTGTTTTCCTTTATGACTTCTTCTGTCAGTTTTTTAATCACAGCAATTTTAAATTCTCTATCTGGAAGGCTCAGAAGTTAGGAAGATTTCTTAAGAGGGTCTGAGCATGTGTGTATGTAACACCATTGACCCCTCCCCGCTTCCCGCATCTTTTTCCTCCACCAACTTCAATTATTCTCTTCTGTTTTCACTTGTTCCTCCTGCTTTTCAGGAAAAATGTTATCCATGCTTAGGGATTTGGTGAAAACCTACAAATCAACATATTGGGAGCCCCAGGCTAGCAGAGCTACACCTGCATCAGCCTTCCCAGGTAATATGTCATAGCTTTTCTCTTGGTGTAGATGAAACAAATTACTATGAACTTAGTGTCTGAAGCAACACAAATATGTTCTCTTACAAAAACCCAAATAATCTCACCAAGCTAAAATCAAGGAATCAGTACGGCTGTTTTCCTTCATGGAGGCTGGGGGGAACAGTATTTCCTTTCCTTTTTCACATGCTAGGTGTAGGGTAAAGAAAATGTCAGGCTTTTCTGCCCTTCCGCCATCAGGATAGATGATGGATCCTTGTCCTGAATGCATGCCTGATGGCAGGCACCTGGAATAGGGTGTGGGCATAGGTAGATGGGATTCAGCTGAGCTAAGACTGCTTTTTAAGGGCGGCGTCACGGGGACGCCAGCAGCAGCAGCAGAAGCCAAGAAGCCGAGAAAGAAGCCGAAGCAGAAGCCGAAAGAGAAGCCGAGAAGCAGCAGAATGAACTCCAGAGAGCTCAGATAGAGTGAAGACTTGCTGGGGGCTGGGAGGCCTGCCAGCCCCCCAGCCCCCCAGCCAGCACCCCTGCCTGCCATATGCCTGGTGAACCCCAATAAAAAACCTGCAAAACTACTGAGGACTCTGACTCCTCCTTTACCCGGTCTGCATGGGATCAGAAAACCTGCACCGTGTCCAGTCCAGGCCTTTACACTAGGGGTCTCCCATATTCCTTGATTATGACCCTTCCTCCCTCTTCAGTCAGCAATGTTCCTCTGCTCTGATCATTGCTCCTTCCATAGTCACATCTCCCTTAGATCACAAATAGGAAAGCTTCTGTTTTTAAGGATCCATATAATTACACAAGGTCCCATCCCAACAATCCAGGATAATTTCCCATTTTCAGGTCCTTAACTCAATTATAAATGCTAAGTCCCTTTTGCCTTGCAGAATGACATAGCCACAAGTTCCAGGGATTAGGACATAAACATCTTTGGTTGAACATTATTCAGCCTACCACACTCAATATGTCCAAAATTAAGGCATTACCTCCTCCTCTGTTCCTCACTCTCTCCTATTCTTCCTATTTCTATTAATGGCATTGTCATATGCTCAGTGGCCTGAGCTAAAAATTCTGGCCTGTATACCTTACTCACTTTTTATATCCAGTTGGTAGTGATTTCTACCAATTCTCCCTCTAGAAATCTTCCTGTCTGGGCCATTTCATGTAAAGTCACATCCATATGAATTTCTTCACACTTGTCTGTTCTCCAGAGACACCCCAGCAATACTCTAAACTGAGTAGTGTCTTAACTTGTCCCCTACCGCCACATAATCACCCTCTTCAAATCCTTCTTCCACACTATCACAAGAGTTATCTTTCTAAAATATACATTGGATCCCATCAATCCTCAGCTTAAAATACATTTATAGCTTCCTGTGTCCTATAAGATAAAATTCAATTTCCTGCCATTCTGCAGAAGGCCCCTGATAATCTGGCCCCAGATAAACCTACCAGCCTAATCCCCAACACCACCACACATTATAGTCCAGTCACACCAAACAATGGAAATTCCCTGAATACACCATTTTCTATGAATGTGCCTGTTTCTTCTGCCGGACTACCCTATACTCTCTCTCTTCTCATTCTTAAGACCTCATTCAATTAGCACCCTGCCACACTGCTGTCCCTTGTATTCTCATTTCTGCAGCCCCTTAGAACTCAGCATGTTGGTTAAGAGCACATGATTTAGAACCAGACAGCCTTGGGTTCAAATTTATGCTGTACTATTTAGCAGCTTTGATGTGAAGCAAGTTGTTTTTCTCTCTGAGTCTTGGATTCCTCATCTCTGTCCACTCCACAGGGTTGTTGTGAGGGTTAAATAAGAGTGTGAACAGCTCCTATCACAATGCCTGTCACAAAGTCAGGACTCAATAAATGGCAACTATTATCATTCACCTATTTACTATAGCTCCCATTATGTACTTACATACAGATTATATAAGCTATATACATTATATATATTATCTGCAGATATATATGTGTGTGTATGTCCCATTAGGAGAGTATAAACACCTTGAGGAAATGAAAAAGTCATGTCTTAAGGGCTGTATCAATTTTCCCCTTTGGCATTGAGTACAGTTCAGTATTCAACAAACAGTTGTTGAAAAGATCAGTGGATGGATGGATGACAGATAAAAAAAGACTAAATGACTGCCTGTAGAAAAGCAAGTTTTTTGGCAACCCATGGATTTAGGGAAACTTCTTAGAGAGTTTTAGACATTTTTTTCTCACCTTTTATCTGGCAATCTCTTGATCCAGATACAAAGATCTTCTTATATAAATCCATGCAAGTGATTGTCCTTTGGTGGCCAGTGAAGATTCGCACACATGCCCCACTTTTCAGATCCCAGTATCTGTAGGAATGAGCCAAAAAAAGGTCTTGTGATTTTCTGAGGGCCCAGGGATCATACTGTGTATTGTTCCTTTAGATCAATAGGTAGTTGGAAGGCAGAAGTTTCATGGTTAAGCTGAGGGTCAAAGACCTGGATTTGAATCCCAGTTGCAGCACCTTTTAGGGGTAATTTTAGAAAAGTTACTTAATTTCTCTTAATTTCTTAAATGAAAATTAAGCTTCATTTCCTCATTAATCAAGTGGGAATTACAATTGTAGTAGTTACCTCATAGGGTTTTTATGAAGAATTAAATACACAAATACAGTGATGGTCAACCAGGGGTGATTTCCACTCCCAGGGGATATATTGACAATGTCTGGAGACATTTTGATTGTCACAAGTGGGAGGGAGGTGCTTATGATAGCTAATGGGTTGAGTTCAAGGATGCTGCTAAACATCCTATAATGCACAGGAAAGCCTCCACATGGAGAATTTTCTAGCCCCAAATGTCAGCAATGCTAAGGTGGAGAAACTCTGAATTAATGCCTATAACATTAGAACAACAAGTACAAAATGCTTGATAGATGTTCAGTTGGTATTAGGTAGAAGGATCCCTGGAATGACCATCACCAGGCTTAGTATCCATAGCATTGATTCAATGGAAGATCTGACCTTCAAATAAGAACAACAGATCAACTTGCCACAGCTACTTAGATCCAAAATTATCTGGTGTATATTTCTAAAGCACATCAGAGATATGTGGGAACGTGCATGAATCATACTTTGTAATAAGCAAACTTGCCTGAAGTCTCTTAACTACCATTGATAGTTCAATGGTAGTTCAGTCATAAGGCATTCATGACAGAGCAAAGTGCAATGTTAAGATAGTGGGGTGGGAGCCAGGCTACCTGAGGTCCAGTCCAAGGTCTATCACTTACTACCTGTGTGATCTTGAATAAGTTACTGAACCACTCTGCACCTCAGGTTCCTCATTCCCAGTGGGATGAGAGTGGTACTTACATCATGGAGTAATTATGAGACTTGGCACATAGTAAGCAATTAATATTTCTTTTGTTTTCCTTTGTGTTAAACTTTTTTCCTAATAATCTCAAAGGCCCTACAGCCTTACCAGTTTATCAAACCCTACTATGTGCCCACATGCTTTTAACCATGTCTGAAAAAAAGCATGTTTTGGATTTCTGTTTTTAGTCACATGGTCAACCATGTGTCCAGATTACTGGTTTTTTTTTTTATTATTTATACAGAAAGGCACTTGATAAAAATTTTCAGAAAAACAGGAATAAAAGGAACTTCCTTGACTTTGTAAAACTTATAAACTAAATCATAACAGTAAACACTACTGAAGGTATATTCCCTTCAAGAAGGAGAATAAGATAAAGATTCCTTTTCTCTTTAATTGGAAGGCATAGGCAAGATTGGAAGGGGAAAAGTAGTGCACACATACTTTTAGAACTAAGAGGTTAGCAAGGTTTCTGGATAGAAGATGAAACTACAAAAATCAATAGCATTTATCCATACCAGCAATAAACAATTTGAGAAATAAATCAGATAGCATTTGCAAAGGTAAGCAAATGAAAAGATGCTCCACATTGTAGGCCATTATGTAAATGCAAATTAGAACCATAATGAGATACCACTAGCCATCTATTAGAACGGCCAAAATTTGCAACACTGATAACATTAAATGCTGGTGAGGATTCAGGGCAATCAGAACGCATTCATTGCTGATAAGAATGCAAAAATGGTACAGCCATGTTGGAAAACAGTTTGGTGGCATCTTACAAAGCCAACTATATTCTTTTTTTTTTTTTTTAAAGATTTATTTATTTATTTATACAAGATTGATTGATTGATTTATACAAGCACTGGGTACAGTCAGAAGCGCGGGAGGGTGAGAGAATTCACCAGAGCCAGAGCGGGGAGCAGAGCAGGCAGAAGGACCGAAGCACACTGCTGAGGGGAGCAGCGGGCGGCAGGAGAGGTCTGCGCGCCATGCGGGACCCTCCTCCGGTGGCCAGGGAGCAGCCGGGGATCGAACCGGCGCTGCAGAGGCAGCGGGCAGCTTCGCAACCCAGCGCTCAACCACTGCGCCACCAGGGAGGCCCACCAACTATATTCTTACCATATGATCCAGCAATCATACTTCTTGATATTTACCAAAAGGAGTAGAAAAATTATGCTCACACAAAAACCTGCATGTGGATGTTTATAGCAGCTTTGTTCAAAATTGTCAAAACTTTTCTTTTGTCAAAACATAATTGTCACAACCAAGATGTCCTTCAGTAGATGAGTAGATAAATATACTATGGTACATCCAGACAATGTAATATTATTCAGCACCAAAAAAAAATAAGCTGTTAAACCATTCGAAGGAATGAAAGAATCTTAAATGCATATACTAGGTGCAAGAAGTCAATCTGAAAAGGTTAGATCCTGAATGATTCTGACTATACAACATTCTGGAGAAGGCAAAATCATGGAGACAGAAAAAAATATCAGCAGTTGCCAGGAATTGGAGTAGGGAGGGGAAAATGAATACATAGATGGAATACAGAAAATGTTTATGGTAAAGGACACAGAAACATTAATTCAAAAGGGCACCTGCACCCCTATGTTTATAGCAGCACTATTTACAATAGCTAAGCTATGGAAACAACCCAAATGCCCAAAAATAGATGACTGGTTCAAGAAAATGTGGTATATATACACAATGGAATATTACTCAGCAATCAAAAAAGATAAACTCATACAATTTGCAGCAACATGGATGGAGCTGGAAGGGATCATGCTTAGCGAAATAAGCCAGAAAGAAAAAGAAAAATACCAGATGGTCTCACTCATAGCCGGAATCTAGGAAACCTAAATAAGGGACTAGGAAAAAGAATAACTATAAGAAAGAAAAAATCAAAATCAGCAAGCAACTATAAACCATAGACATACTACAGGGTTGGGGGGGGGTGAGAGAGGAAGGATTAAGGTCAATAGGTGAAGCTGTATATGAGTAGGGTCAGGGAGTATATGGAAAAATCTTTCCTCTCAATTTTGCTATAAGCCTAAAATCGCTTTTTCATAGGTCTTTTCAAAAACAGGATGGTTTTGGTGCAAGATCAGAAAAACAAACCACTATTTTAGAATAGAGACCAACCAGACACTTCTTATGTATATATGGAAAATCACCATATAATAAAGATGGCACCATAAATCACTGGGGGATATCGCAGATTATTTTATAGTTGCTATAGGTGAAAATGACACCTTTTATTTAAAAAAGAAGTATAAAGAACTAATATAAAGAGATAAATATAATTAGAATAGCCCCAATAGGAAAAATAGATAAAGGACATAATCAGGCAATTTACAGAACAGGAAGCTTCAGAAGTTAATAAGCAAGCTTATTAATAACCAGAGTAATGCTACTGGAAATGATTTTCCACAGATTCATTTGGCAAAAATTTGAAAGTTGGATGGCACCCAGTGTTGGTAGGGAAATAAAAGTGTGCCTTCCTTTGAATAAAGATATTTACTGATTCAAAATCTGCAACTAGAGAATATATCTGATGATTATTATAAATCTATCTCATTCACATTTGAACAATACACAAATTTTTGGTTTTTACTTAGCTAAAAAATAAAAAAGTTGTGTGTTATCTGGAAGTCTGTCATTTAGGATAACTTTTCGGTTTGTTTTTGGCAAGCTTTTGGCTCTGGATGGGGACCATGACTTCCTTGAACCCCTTACCTGATACTCAGGTCGTAGCTCCCACTCAGGAGAAAGTTTCCCTCCTCACACAAGATGAGGGCATGGACAGTCCCTGCATGGCCACGGAACTCGATGGGTATCTCCTTTATATTAATGATGTTCAGAAGTTTGATCTTCCGATTTGATGAAACGGCTATCAAATCTCCCCCGGAATAATGGATGACTCTGTTTTGATCCCACCTGAGTTGTAGGGAGGAGAGGAGATGCCCCATGAAAAAAGAAGTAGTGTCTTTACTGGGACTCACATAGCAACATGGCTTTCACCTACAGCAATGGTAGAATGGGAAATGCAGGGCCTTCCAACAACTTTTTAGAAGGCAAGACCTAGTAGTAATAGGCTGATGGATCCCTACCTCATGCCATAACAAAAAAATCCATCTCAGAAAGATTTAAAACCTAGACACAAAAGGCAAAACTATTTTTTAATCTGCTAATGTAGGAAAAATCAGTAAGAAAGAGAGTAGAGTGTATGGCATTTCCTAAGCTTATTTGACCATAAAAGCCTTTTTTTATGGAAAACCCCTATATCCACTGCATATCCTAATGGATTTTATTTTTCTTAACAAATATCCAGTGAGTATGCAGCAGGTTCAAAGTCCTGTGCTCGTTGCTACCATAGGAAATACAAAGATGAATAAGATGAACCTGGCCTTCGATGAGCTTATAGTCCAATAAAATAGGGTGAGTTGAACTAATTTTCCAATCTTAGGATTTTTGGTAAATAGATAAAATAAGAGCAATGTGGCCAAATCATTTATTGTTCAAACTGAGACAATTTTTATTGTGAAAGGAGACACTATTACTAATTAGTCTAGTACCACAGAGTAAATTGGGTTTGTTTCAATAAACAAGAATACGTAGCCTCACTAAATATGAGAAACAATTTTTGATATTTTTGTCAATCCACTTGTCACATCCAATCATGATCTCTTCTAAAGAGGGCTTGTCACCCCACTATCCATAAAAATATCAACTTTGCTTTTCCCCTGTTTGCTCTGTCTTCCCCCTACTGACTAGTATATTCTCTGAATCAATTTGTTAGTAAGAGTCACAGTCAAAAAAAATAAAGATGAACTTTACAAAACTGTGAATAAAGAATGAAGTCCTGTGCCTAAAGTATGACTGATAGTTGATTAAAGGCTCTTCTTCCTATGGCATATCCAAATATAGTTATCATTAAGTACCATTTTCATATTTAACATGGAAATCTACCCAGAATACTTTGCTGAGTGGGTTACAGAAATATGTATAGCCTAACATCATTCTATTAAATATGTAGTTTAAGGTAGTTAAATGTAGTAAAATGCAGTTTAAAATGTAGTTTAATGATGGTTTTCTCTAAATGATAAGATTATAGTATAGGAGATCTTTGACTTTTCTCAATTCTCAGCAGCATTTGGAGGAATTTTTTTTCCATTAAGCATACATTATTTCTAAAATTAGGAGTAAAATACAGATATTTCGAAGAAAAGAAACAAATGTATACATGTGAATTGCATACATCAGAGGCAGGTTCTTGGGCAGTATACCCCAACTTTATCAGGAAAAAAATGTCATTCACTCACCACTGAGAATGATGTAAAAATCAAGCACCTGTTCTCCAAATGGGATCTATATTATTTTGGGGCTGGAGTTTGACATGGGAAAGGACTGCCCTGCCAAGAAGGATCAAGGGAATCCTAAGATGCTGGTGTGAGCAATTCAAGGTTCTGAAAGACCCAGAAGACCTGATCCCAGACTTACTTGTCAGAGAGAATGCGAACATTGTAAGTCCCGCAGAAGACATTTCTCTCCTCCATCTGCACCTGCTGGGTTTCCTGGCCTTGATATGCAGTCCACAGGTTGTAGTCAGTCTAACAAGGAATACTTGGAAATCAGACTATGGTAACTTTACCAACGCCCCTGTCATGTGTCCCTGGCATCACTTCAGGCAAGGGTACAACATAGATTCTTCCTCTTCAGGCTGGGGCTGCTGTTACGTGGTGATGGGGCGAGGCCCGTAAGCAGGCATTAATGTAGTCCATAAATTAGAAAAGGCTGCCAAGGCCCTAATTCTTCCACCTCTTTGTATTTTTTATGTGTTCTAATGCCATGAACTTTCCATGTGCTCATAGCACAGTTGTTCTGAAAGTAAGTTCACAAAGGGTAGCACTCACAAAATAAAGTCACAGATGCCCTTTGGCCATATCCCTGAAGTCAATGTTTTTCACATTTTATTTCACATACCTGACAGAACAAGCACTGGCATACTGCTTTAGCTCAGCAGAGAGCACCCATTATGGCCATCACCCCTCAGAAGCACTCACCTCTACCTTTCCCCAGCAGATTCCTTAAATGTTTATTCTTGCTGCTTCACATGTTCTTTGCCAAGTCTACATACTCTTTACTTATTTCTCTCTCTTACACTAGGTACATTTCTAAAATATCACACACTGACTGGGTAATCCATTTTTGTCAGGTGATTACTAACTACCTCACTGAGGAACAAGGGTATTTTGTTATACTTAGCAAAGCAACTGACTTGAAGAGGGCAGGGCCTCATTCAACTTGTGTCTTTCTCACTGCACTGACTGAGAGACCTCTCTGAGCCTCAGTTTCTTCATCTATAAAATGAGTGAATAGATCAATTCAGAGATAAAAATAGCAGGTCGGGGCCTCCGTGGTGGCTCAGGGGTTAAAATCACAGCGCTATCAGCCACTGCAGCATAAGTTTGGTCCCCAGCCAGGGAGCTACCCACTAGGCGCAGCAGAGCTCTCCTGACTCGCCCGCTGCTCCCCTCAGCAGTGTATCTCAGTAGATCCACCTGTTCTGCTCCCCACTCTGTCTCCGTGAATACTTTCACACACACTCCCGCACCTAGACTAACCCCAGTTCTTGTATGCATAAATAAATAAATATTTTTTTAAATGGTAGGTCAACTGAGATCCACAAATGTGTTTTTTTCTTTGATCCACATTTTCTTTTAAATGCCTTTAACTGATTGCCAGCATTAAGAAAAACAAGTGATTTCACGTGGTGATTCAGATTTCTGTCTTCTCCTCAAAGTTCTGGTGGTCTGGGAAGTCCATGTTCATAGTGCCCATGGTAACAGTTAGCTGGATTGGGTAACACTTGCCCCTTCCGTTGGGAGTGAATGCTGCAGTTCACGACAGGTCTGTCGTCCTTACTTTCACACCAGACTCCTCCCTCATTCATGTGACCTGCTTGACCTCTCTGGGCACATAAAATGGACAGTCTCTCTGGATACGACTATTTCTCAAATTCTAATTTATACCCACAGTTTCTCTAAGAGAAGCTACAGTCAGACTACCCACGGTCAGGTATCCTTTTGGGGGCCAGTGGCAGACTACCCACGGTCAGGTATCCTTTTGGGGGCCAGTGGTATGGATTTCAAAATAGAGAAGGGAGCAGGAATTGAACAGTTTTAGGAATGACCACCATGCCTGGACATGCAGAACAGAGACCTCAGAGAATCTTCCACCTACACTTCTTCATTATTGCCCAAGATTTGGTGGGGAGATCTATGGTTAAGTAATTCTCCTTTCCCATTTTTTTTTTTAAGATTTATTTATTTATACAAGCACTGGGTACAGTCAGAAGCACAGGAGGGTGAGAGAATTTGCCAGAGCCAGAGGAGGAAGCAGAACAGAAAGAAGGATCGAAGCACACTGCTGAGGTCTGCGTGCCATGTGGGACCCCCCCCGCCAGCGCGGAGGGGCCCGGCGCTACAGAGGCTGCGGGCAGCTTCGCAGCCCAGCGCCCAACCACTGTGCCACCAGAGGAGGCCCTCCTTTCCCATTTTGCAACCAGAATGAGCTGGAAGTGAGAGGTGACAAAACTTCACTCCCTGGACAGTCTGGAGTGGCCCTGCTGCCCCCAGTCCTTGGGTCCTTCTTATTCCTGATCAGCAGGCCTCTAGATGCATTGACTGGTAGGTGTTAAGGAGAATCCTGGCTCTCCCTCATATTGCTACTGGCTCTGAGCAACCCTTTCAGTGACTTGGTGCCATGGACAGAGGGTATGGTTGGGGGATTTGAAGAATTGAACTCTGAGAGGACCACCAAATCAACTCACTTATCTAACAGATGAGGAAACTAGGCATAAAGAGAGGAAGTCTCTTGCTCAAGAATACAAAGCAAAGAACTCTGGCCTCCCCTGTCCTATATCCACATGCTATGTTCCATATCCTCCCACTTCTCATATGTCTGTGTGAGGGCTAAGTCTGGACTTCAGTGGCCAATAAAAATGTGGCATTCACAGCTACTTGCTCCAAAGGCCAGGTGGGACCCACCTTCATCCTCAGTTTCCATTTCTGATTTTTCGCACGTGTGCGCTTCCCGTCATCTACCATTTTAGGAACTGGGATGGAAAGCTTGTTGGCAAAATTAGGATCTATCCCCTTTGGGTAGGATCCCTGGGGAGAAAAATAAAAACAGAAAATGCTAATGTTGGTTGCTGCTCTCCAAGAGGAGGGGCAAAGTAGGAAAGATGGGTGAATTCTGATTAAGAGGCACCTGCACGCCTATGTTTACAGCAGCACTATTTACAATAGCTAAGCTATGGAAACAACCCAAATGCCCAAAAATAGATGACTGGATCAAGAAGATGTGGTACATATACACCATAGAATATTACTCAGCATTCAAAAAAGATAAACACATGCAATTTGCAGCAACATGGATGGAACTAGAAGGGATCATGCTCAGCGAAATAAGTCAGAAAGAAAAAGAAAAATACCGGATGGTCTCACTCATAGCAGGAATTTAGAAAACCTAAATAAGAGACCAGGAAAAAGACTAATCAATACAAAGTAAAAATCAAAATCAACAAGCAACTGTAAACCAGAGACACACTACTGGGGAGGGGGGCTGGGAGGGAGCAGCGGGGAAAGGAAGGACTAGAGTCAAAATAAGGGGGGAAGTGCAATTGTATGGGGAATATAACCAAAATGAAAATGCATACATTGTGCAAAGATGAAAAAAGATATAAGAATTATATAAAATAAAATATTAAAAAAAAAAAGAAAGGCCAGTTAGGCCAGTAGTATGTGCAGACTGGTTTAAGGAGAATAGTAAATACTCTGCTCTTAGAGGAAGACCAGCTAGGGATGGCAAGCAGTCTCCAGCTCTCCAGAGCATGGCCTGCCTCACAATCTTGCTTCTCCTCATTTTCGGTCGTCTATCTCTGCTAGCAAATATCCAAGCTACCAGGAAATCATTTTTTAGGGTTAGACTCCAGGCAAGAATCACAAGTAAAAATGCCAGAGATGGTAACTATTGGGGGGAAATTGCATTTTAACCTAAACCATAGTATGTGGCTGTGTAAATATCTCTACACCATATGAAGTTGATTCTGAAACAGATGCACAGTTTTTTTATTGCATAGATAATAACTCACTTTGAAAAATAAAAACCCCATTTTATGAGGTTCTCTTCCTGAGAAGTTTCTACACATCTTGTTCTTGTTAGATGCACTGACAATGGGGGAGTAAATGGTGAGTAATGGGAAGTGAAGGCAAAAAGGAATTGACTGTGAAGCCTATGAGGCAGCAAAGGAGGAGGAGGAGGCCAGTTACAGGCCTGCTGACTAGACTGCAAGCCCTGAGTCAGGTTAGTCTCAACAGAGAAATGAGGCTGATCTCTAGACTGTCCCCTCCCCTCCCAGACAGAAAGTACCTGCATGAAGGTAATCTGGTTCTGAATGAAGTTATGCATCAGCAAGTCCATCTTGACCTGCTGTGCCAGTGCAGCCCAGTGCTGGCTCACAGAGGCACATCTGTTCAGGCTGCTTTTATCCAACATGCCTGAAAAAAAAAGCCGGACCTGGGAACGTCAGAACTTGGATGTGATGGGAGGTCTCGTAAGAAATCCCCCAGTCCACCCCAGCATACTTAGAATATACTTGGAGAGATGGATGGGCAGGTAACGGATGAAGTCCCGGTATTTGCTGACCCCAGAAAAAAGGACTGTGACAGCATCCAGGTCAACCAACAGATTTGGGTGGGCATCCCCTGCCTTGACTTTGTACGCTTTTCCAGCAGGCAGCCTATTCATCTTGGAAATACACTGGAGTGAATTCTTCCATGGTTCCTCTAGAGTGAAGCCAGAGAAAGGTATATTGGAGGGTTGTTTCCAGGCCAATTGCAACCCCTTGCCAAAAGCATTCCCACAACATAAAACTTATCAGAGCCTTCCCATAGGCCATTGGATTTCTTCTACCAAAATACATATAGAATTTTTCAAACAAACAAATAATATCTGTATCTACAGTATCAAAACCTGCCCTACCCACTCTGGTGAAATGGCACTGTGTCCGGAATTCCCTTTGAATTACCCCTTCAATGGGCCTCCCTGGTGGCACAAGGGATTAAGACATAACCTATGAAGCTGTCCACAGCCACTGCAGCATGAGTTTGATCCCCGACCAGGGAGCTACCCTGTCTCACCTGCTGATCCCTCAGCAGTGTATTTCAGTCAATCTGCCTGTTCTGTTCCCCACTCTGTCTCTGGTGTATCCTCTCACCGCCCCCCCCCACCTCTGGCCTGTACCCCAGTTCTTGTATGCATAAATAAATAAATGTTGAAAATAAATAGATAGATAGATAGATAGATAGATAGATAGATAGATAGATAGATAGATAGATAAATTACCCCTTCATGAAAAATTTTAAACAATTTTTAAAGGGGAATCGAATGAAACAGATTGGTAATTATTAGAGTTGAGTGATGGTTATGTCAGTGGTTATTATACTAGTCTATTTACTTTTGGAATTTAAAATTTTCCACATAAAAAACTGTTTTAGAATTTATGGTTTGTGTCCCATCTATGTCTTGCTTCAAAAAACAATTTGTGAAGACCTTGGAGTCAGACCCAAATTCCTCCAGAAGACAGAATCCAATGTGACATAATTAGCTTCTGTGGGGCGCCAGAGCTCAGGGGTTAGGTGAAGGGTGGTAGCTGGCAGCTAGGAACAGAGGGACAGTTTAAAAGAAACCCTGAATAATTTCCATTCTGGTCTCTATTTTCAGACATCTCTTGGAGGCACCGGGAAGAGGTGAAAACCTGGACTTTAGGGTGATACTGATTAATTTTATTTTTTTTTATTATTTTTTTTTTTAAAGGTCAATGGTGAAGTCTTTTTTTTTTTTTTTTTAATAGAGGCATGTTTTATTTATTTATTGTTTGTTTGTTTGTTTTTTTGTTTACACATGCACTGGGTACAGTCAGAGGCGCGGGAGGGTGAGAGAATTCACCAGAGCCAGAGCGGGGAGCAGAGCAGGCAGAAGGACCGAAGTACACTGCTGAGGGGAGCAGCGGGCGGCCGGAGAGGTCTGCGCGCCATGTGGGACCCTCCTCCTGGCCGGGAGCAGCCGGGGATTGAACCGGTGCTGCAGAGGCCGCGGGCAGCTTCGCAACCCAGCGCTCAACCACTGCGCCACCGGGGAGGCCCGATACTGATTAATTTTAATCCTTGCTCCTCCCATTATCAGACGTGGGATTAAATGAGGGAATAAATCCCATAGAGCCTAACACATTGCTGGTGCCAAACAAATGGTAGTTCCCCAAATCTGCCATCCCCAGATACTATGGTCCTGCCATCTCCTGCAGCACCACTGGGACTTGCTGATGTCCTATATACTGGTTTTCTTAGTACAAGCTGACTTACCAGTATCAGGTCGTTCTCCCCCAATATTTCTAAACAAGTTTTCTTTTCCTGAAATGGCGGACAAAGGGAAGGATGTTGGGCTGGTTCTGGCTGCAAAGTAGTCAGATGAGTGCTCAAACTTGGGGTTGGGGTATTTCTCTGGGAAGAAAAGCATATCATTGCAGACTTGCTCATCTCCTGAGGGAAAGAAAAAAAAGACCAAGATAATTCTGCTTTTTTAAGCAGCTGTGTAGAGAAAAAAAATGGAGAGATTATTTTATTTCCATTTTCTTCTTTTAAATCTACACAAAATGGACCAGAACAGTTCTGTCTGTTTTTCTTTGGGGCTCTGATCATCTATGCAAAAATCACAGAAAGCCTCCTGTTGAGTTTTTTCCCCCGACAACCATCCTTTCTATCCCCTGCTCCTTTCTCTCCTGCCTCCCTTTTAACCTGAAAGCCTTCAGAATGCATGCTGATATCCACAAGTTTTTCAAGTGTTTTACATTATCAGATCATCTGCTATGTAAATGTCCCATGTTTGTTTATATCATTCTAACACACTTTGCTTCACATAATACTCTCAGATGCCCTCCATTTTTTTAAAATGGCTGCATTTCATCCTTTCTTGTGGCTGTATAGTATTCCATGGCTGTATAGTATTCCATACCACCTCTTCTTGGTCCAGTTGTCCACCAATGGAACTTTAGGCTACCTCCATGTCCTAGGTATTATAAATAATGCTGTTGTGAATATTATGGGATGTGTGGGTTTATGTGTTAATGGTTGCAGAGTCTGTTCAGGAATGGGCTTTATGGATATGTCCATTCTAGCTTTTTAAGGTAAATCCAGATCATCTCCATAATATTATATTTGACCAGCTTACATTCCACCAACAGTGTAATAGGGCTCCTCTTCCTCCTCATCCTCTCCACTAGTTGTTGGAGGTTGTTTTAATATGGGCCACTCTCAGAGACATGAGATAGTATCTCGCTGTGGTTATAACCTGTATCTCTCATTCAAAGTGACAATGAACATTTTTTTCATATATCTTTTGGCCTTCAGATATACTCTTTGGTGACTTGTTCATATCCCCTGCCCACTTGTTGTTGTTGAATTGTGTATGTTTTTCACATCTTGGGTATTAATCCCCTCACTTATTTAGGGTGTTAAATTATCTCCTATTCTATGTGGTGTCTTTTTATTTGTCTTTATTTTGTTTCACTATATGGAAGGTTTTCAATTTGAGGGAATCCCAATTGTTTGGTTTTTAATTCCCTTATATCACTTAAGTCATAGAATATATTGCCAATATTTTCTTCTATGTATTTTACTCTTGTAAAATTAAAGATTTATATCTAAATCTTTAATCCCATCGGAGTTTATTTTTGTAACTAGGGCTGGCAAGTGATCTAACTTCACTCTTTTATGTGTGACATTCCAATTTCCCCAGCACCATTTATTAAAGAGACTGTCCTTTCCCCATTTTATGGCCTTAGCTGCTTTATCATAGATTAGGTGCTGATATATAGGTGGATTTATTCATGGGCTTTTGATTCTACTCCATTGATCCATGTATCTATGGGATTTAGCCCCTCATTTAATCCCACAATACCATATTGTTTTTTTTTTTTTTTTTTAAATATTAAATTTTATTTTTATATTCCCCCATACAATTGCAAACGCCCCATTCTGACCCCAATCCTTCCCCTCCCGCCCCCACCCCCCAAAAAGTGTCTCTGGTTCATAGTTTTTTGTTGATTTTGATTTTCACTTTCTTATAGTTATTCATTTTCCTGGTCCCTTATTTAAGTTTTCTAGATTCCTGCTATGAGTGAGACCATCCGGTATTTTTCTTTTTCTTTTTGGCTTATTTCACTGAGCATGATCCCTTCCAGTGCCATCCATGTTGCTGCAAATTGCATGTGTTTATCTTTTTTGAATGCTGAGTAATATTCCATGGTATATATGTACCACATCTTCTTGATCCAGTCATCTATTTTTGGGCATTTGGGTTGTTTCCAAAGCTTAGCTATTGTAAACAGTGCTGCTATAAACATAGGAGTGCAGGTGCTCTTTGGAATTGATGTTTCTGTGTCCTTTGGGTAAATACCTAGGAGTGGAATTGCTGGATCATATGGAAGCTCTATGTTTAGTAGGTCCAGAAATCTCCACACAGCTCTCCATAGTGGTTGGACCAGTTTGCACTCCCACCAACAGTGCACAAGAGTTCCTTTTTCTCCACATCCTCGCCAACATTTGTTGTTGCTAGTTTTTTTAATATGTGCCAATCTCACTGGTGTGAGATGGTATCTCATGGTAGTTTTGATTTGCATTTCCCTGATTACAAGTGATGTTGAACATTTTTTCATATGTCTGTTGGTCATTTGCATTTCCTCTTCAGAGAAGTTTCTTTTTAGCTCTTCTGCCCATTTTTTGACTGGATTATTTTCTTTGTTGTTGCTGAGTCTCATCAGCTCTTTGCAGATTTTTGTGATCAGTCCTTTATCATTAGTGTTGGGTGCAAAAATGTTCTCCCAGTTGGTGGGGTTTCTCTTTGTTTTTGTTATTGTCTCTTTTGCTGTGCAGAAGCTCTTTAATTTGATGTAGTCCCAGCTGTTTATCTTTCTCTTCACTATCACTGCTTTGGTGATGTGTCTGTAAAGATGTCTTTGATGTGCAAATCCCGTAGTGTTTCGCCTATATTTCCTTCTATGTATTTTATGGTTTCAGGTCTTATGTCTAGTTCTTTAATCCATTTTGAGTTGATTTTTGTGTATGGTGTGAGGTAGTGGTCAAGCTTCATTCTTTTGCATGTAGCGACCCAGTTTTCCCAGCACCATTTATTGAACAAACTTTCTTTGCTCCAATGCATAGTCTTCGCTCCTTTGTCAAAGATTAATTGACCATAAATCTGTGGGTTTATTTCTGGATTTTCTATTCGATTCCATTGGTCTGTATGTCTGTTCTTGTTCCAATACCATGCAGTTTTGATGATTATGGCTTTGTAGTATAGTTTGAAGTCTGGGAGTGTGATGCCTCCATTTCCTTCTTTTTTTTCAGTAGAGCTTTGGCTATTCGGGGTTTTTGGTGATTCCATATGAATTTCATCAATAATTGTTCTATTTCTTTGAAGAATGCCATTGAGATTTTGATTGGAATAGCATTGAATCTGTATATTGCTTTTGGTAGGATGGCCATTTTAATAATGTTTATTCTTCCAATCCATGAGCAGGGGATGTCTTTCCATTTCTTTGTGTCTTCTTCTATTTCTTTTAACAGTGTTTTATAGTTTTCTTTGTATAGGTCCTTTACCTCTTTTGTTAGATTTATTCCCAAATACTTGATTTTTTTTGTTTCGATAATAAAAGGGGTGGTTTTTTTGATTTCTTCTTCTTCAGATTTATTGTTTGTGTATAGGAAGGCTACTGACTTTTGCGTGTTGATTTTGTATCCTGCCACTTTACTGAATTGATTGATGAGTTGAATTAGTTTTTCTGTGGAGATTTTGGGTTCTCTATGTATATTATCATATCATCTGCAAATAGTGATAGTTTGACTTCTTCTTTTCCTATTTGGATTCCTTGGATGTCTTTCTCTTGTCTTATTGCTCTGGCTAGGACTTCCAGTATTATATTGAAAAGCAGTGGTGAGAGTGGACATCCTTGTCTTGTTCCAGATCTTAATGGAATTGCTTTCAGCTTTTCACCATTGAGAATGATACTGGCTGTTGGCTTGTCATAGATGGCCTTAATGATGTTGAGGTATGTTCCTTGTATCCCAAGAATTTCAAGGGCTTTTATCATGAATGGGTGTTGCACTTTGTCGAAAGCTTTCTCAGCATCTATTGATATTATCATATGGTTTTTATATTTCTTTTTGTTGATGTGTTGGATAACGTTGATTGATTTTCGGATGTTAAACCATCCTTGTGCCCCTGGAATGAATCCAACTTGGTCGTGGTGAATTATCTTATGGATACATTGTTGGATTCTGATAGCTAAAATTTTATTGAGGATTTTTGCATCAGTGTTCATTAGGGAGATTGGCCTATAGTTTTCCTTTTTTGTGTTGTCCTTATTCGGTTTTGGTATTAGTGTAATATTGGCTTCATAGAACGTGTTTGGTATTGTCCCTTCCTTCTCAATTTTTTGGAAGAGTTTGTGAAGGATAGGCACTAATTCGTCTCTGAATGTTTGGTAGAATTCATTTGTAAATCCATCAGGTCCTGGGCTTTTGTTTTTGGGGAGGTTTTTAATTACCATTTCAATTTCGCTAATTGTAATTGGTCTGTTTAGGTGTTCTATTTCTTCTTTATCTAGCTTTGGGTGATTGTAGAGTTGTAGGAATTTGTCCATCTCCTCTAGATTGTTGAACTTGTTTCCATATAACTGTTCATAGTAGTTACTGATTATTCTTTTGATTTCTGCTGTGTCCGTTGTGATTTCTCCTCTTTCATTTATGATTCTGTGTATTTGTGCTTTCTCCCTTTTTTCCTTTGTGAGCCTGGCTAGGGGTTTGTCTATTTTATTTATTTTTTCAAAGAACCAGCTCTTGGTTTCATTGATCTTTTGGATTGTTTTTTTAGTTTCAATTTCATTTATTTCTGCTTTTGTTTTTATTATTTCTTTTCTTCTACTGGTTTTGGGGTTTTTTTGTTGTTCTTTTTCTAGATCTTTGAGCTTCGAGATTAGGTTGTTTCTTTGAGTTCTTTCTTGTTTCTTGATGTGAGCTTCTATTGCTATATATTTTCCTCTTATTACTGCTTTTGCTGCATCCCATACATTTAGGATATTGGTGTCCTCCTTGTCGTTCAATTCAAAGAATTTTTTAATTTCTTCTTTGATCTCCTCATTAGTCCAGTGGTCTTCCAGTAGTGTGGTTTTTAATCTCCATGAGGTAGGAAAGTTCCTTGCCTTCTTTTTCCATATTGTTTTTATTACTGTGGTTTATAGTAACATTTGAAGTCATGTAATATGATACCTCCATGTCTCTCCTTCCTGCTCAGGGTTGTTTTTGCAATTCGAGGACTTTTGTGGTTCCATTTAAATTACAATATTTTTCTTTCCGCTTCTTTGAAAATTATTCCTGATGTTTTGATATGGAGTGTGTTAAATTAATATATCGTTTTAAACTGGATAGTCATTTTGATTATATTGATTCTCCCCATATCCTTCCATACCCTTTATGTCACTAAG